AGAGGGGAATGTTTTGGGGACAGAGGGGCCTGGCCTTTGCAAGGGGTTCACGCTCTCTGGAATGAGTTATAAACTCAGATTTATAGGCTGCTACTGCTGACAACACCTGAAGCAAAATTTCTGGAAGTTCTGCTTTGGGTTGTCACCGTTGCTTAAAATTTTTCTTATTCTTTTCAAGATTTTTCTTGTCTTTACTTTCCCCTACAGCGAATGGCAAGGCACATGGCAGTTTTGCCTTTTCATTTTGAAGCTCTCTGAGTTAATGTCCCTCTGCCTCCCCTTGCATCATTTATACCCCGATGGAGATGGGGAAAATGGCTCTAGATGATGATGCGTGAAAACTCCGGTGTGGCCAGTCTCTAAAACAGGCCCAAGCCACCATTTGGGCTCCATGCACCCAGCTGGGGTTTGCCAGCTCCCAAATGGGATCACTCTGCACTGGACACCCATGGAGCCAGGGACGAGGGGATCCAGGCCACCCTGGGTAAGGTCATGCTCAGGCCACTGACATTTTAATCAGCATTTCATAACTAATTGCCTGGCCACAGCTATCTTATTATCAATTAACATAGCCCTGAATGTCAGGAAGTAACTGTATCTCTCTAACTCGCTAAGGCTGCCTTCTGGGTCTGTGAAATGGCTGGATTTCCTCACAGGGATGGATTACATGTTTACATCTTCCCTGCTGCCAGAGTGTGTAGTGCGGATGACCCAAGTAAGCAACAATAATATCTTCATGTTCTCTCTCTGTGTTCCTCATCTTGTGTAAGCTATAGAAGGGGAAAAAAAATTCCTTGTGTGTGAACTTTTGGAGTAGGCTGAAAGACACCCACATTGCAGACACTGTATTGCCTGAATCCAAGAAATTAGAGAGGGGGAAAAAAAAAAAAAAAAAGCTGCAGCATTTGAGAGCCTTTTGAGAATGGACACTTTTCCAGACAGCAGGAAATGCCCTTAAATGGATGGGATCATTTCAATGATCCTTTTGGTCCAGAGAGCGTTGCTGTCTCTCAAGCTGGAGGATATCCCTGCCATCAGCAGAAGGTCTCTCACCAAACTGACCTGCTCCAATACGTCCAGCTTTTAACATCTGCTATTTTGGAACATGGGACTTTCCAGATTAGGATAAATATGACCCACTTCACAAAACTAAGCATCCCCTCTTCTGAGGCCGAAGAGGGTAGAGCGTGGAGGGTGGCTTTTTCTCTCTCTGTGTGAGTGAGAGCAAAGGGTTCCTTGCAGTTGTGTTTTAGTTAGTCACTGGTTGAACGGGCCATGAGGAAGGTCAGGGGAGCAGAGGGCTGTGTGGCATGGCCTTGCTGTTCGTGGCAGGCGTGTCCCTTCTGTATCTGCAGACTGTGGTTGCCCTTTGGGCTACGGGGAAGGCAGAGCTACTTCAAGGAAAATTTGTCTGCATAAAAACCGGAGCAGCTGAGAAGGGACAGTGCAGATGGTGCTAATTTCCAGAGGCCGTATGTTTGGAGGGACCCCGGGTACCCCTACAAGAATTCTTTGTTTTCTCAATGTTCAGTTTCAAAGGTGCTCCGGGGGTCTCCTCTTTGCAGGAGACCGCGGCTTCCTCCCACTCGTCCACTCCCGACACGTTTGCTCCGTCCCCTCCTCCGTCCCCCGCTGCTCGCCGGGCCCCGCAGCTGGATAAACAGCGATCCGGCGCTTACAGCCCTCCGGTGCCTTCCAGCAAGGCGCCGGCACGGAGAGAGGCTTCCTGAGCTGCCCGCCGTGGGCGGATGGCCGTGCTCAAACCCGCGTGCCAGCGCCAGCGTCGCTCCGGGCCCAGCAAGATCAGGTTCAAAACACACGGCAATCTGGAGGTGCTAATTACAAACGGGGGTTCTCTGTCCGTGCAAGGCTCGAGGAGGGATTTGGTGGTCTGGGAGCTCTGGGTCTGTCTGCTGGCTGGGCTTAGCTGTGGAATGGGCTTAGAAATGTCCATGGTAGCTTTGATCTCTGCTCTGTTGTTGACTTGTCGTCCCTTCTCTGTTGAGAGTTTGTATGGAAAAGGGATCTAGCTCATCTCCTGTGCCACCTCTGTCTCACCCCAAAAAGAGCCTGCTGCAGGGAGAGGAGGAACCCCCAGAGGCGTGATTTGTACTTGTGGCTGTTGATAATATTGGCTCTTGGTTGTTTGGGGAGCTCTTTGGAGTTCACCACCATCGAGAGGCCTGTTTCAACACAGCTGTCCCAGTCTGTCTGGGAGTTCAGGACACTGGTGACATGAGGGACAACATGCAGTCGTGTTGTGGTGACTCTGTTGCAGTTCAGGTGGCTTTTGTGAAGGGTCCCATGCAGCCTGGTGGACTTGTGGGTTTGCCCCCTTGGCTTCCAGGGTTGTTAGCATCCCTGACCAGGCCAGAACTCTGGCCAGGGGCAAGTCCAGTGCACTGCTCAGGAGAGGCTAGCTCAGCCTGGCCACCAATGGTTAGAGCTGTTGGGAGTGGAGGTGCACATATCCCTGTCCTCCTTTGCCAGCTCCTTCCTCTAATGTGTGTTTACTACTTGTTGTATTAAGAATACACTTTAGAACCTCTGCTCCACCTTCTTGTTTATCACTGGGACAGAATGTGACCTTCGTTGTGCTGAAGCTTTATTTTGCTTTGTAAAATCCCCAGTGCTTTGCAACAGCTTATCCAGCAGCATCTCCTCCCTCCCCACTGTGTTTGAGACATCTTGCCTCCTCCTGCTCTCCCTTTTTCTCCTCCTCCAGCCCATGCAAGATGATGTTGCTTTTGGAAATGACTCTGTCTGAGGGCTTTGCTTTCTCCTGGATCACACGGACAATCCCAGCATTTTGAAGCCCAGTCCCTGGATGGTCTCTCCCAATTGACTTATTGCAGCCAAGATTGTGTCCCTGCAGCTCCCTGATGTGTGTTTACACAAGGCTGTGCAGTCCCCCCTTCACAGAACCATTAATTTTATAGAGGGCATATAACAGAGATGGGCCTCCACTCTGCCTCCTGCCTTTGATCTGTGTGGGGTGCATGGCCTGGTGGGCCCAGAGCTGCCGGCAGCGCTGATTTACTCTGCTCTGTGGATGGAGCTTCTGGAGCAAACGAGAGCTTATGTTTTCTCTCAGTGGTAACAGCAATCCCCTTACAGGCTGTGCTGCTGGCTGGGTGTGTTGGGGCTGGAAGGGCAGGGATGGCTCAGGGTTTGCTTGTCTTTAAGTTTTTCTTTTAATATTAGCTCAGTGGTTTGGCTCACGTAATCTATGAGTGCCCCAAGCCCACGCAGACAGGTAGGCGGGCTATTAAGGGTCTGCAGTGTTACTAATGGAAATAAAGTCCATGTATTGGCAAGCCATAAGCATTGACCTTGTGACAGGGCGCTCACTCTGAAACAAAATCTCTCCAAAACAGTTCTCTTACAGAACTTCATTGTCATCCAAGCTAGACCCAGAAAACTTTATCTTTTTTTTTTTTTCTTCCTTTTTTGTTTTTTTTTCTCCTCCCTGTCTGGCATACATTAGGATTCCTGGATCTGAGTGTGACCTTGCCCTCCAAAATGAACTCTCTGATGAGGAACCCTTTTGTTGTTTAGACTTGGCGTACCAAGTAGGACACTGAGCTCAGCATCAACACTGGTTGTGGGCGATTGCCAGACCAACCAAATCTGGGTCGCCCCTGAGATCCTGTTCTAAATTTGATTGGAGTCGTTTTGAGTTGTTGAGCCTTCTGGCTGTGAGTGTTGACCTTAGCTCTGTCTGTCAGTCATCACGAAGGTGCTAAGCTTTATTATTTTTTAACCCAAAGGTACCCATTAGGGGTAACCTCTTCTAAATGAACCTCGATGAAAGCTGTGTCTAACAGTGGCTTTTGACAGGGCAGTTTTAGGTCACCAGAGCTCGATAGCCAAACCGTTTGCTGAAGCCCCTGGTATGAAAGAGTCACGCTAAGCGAGAGATTTCCAATGTGGAAAACGTTTGTTCATCCAAAGTCTCCGGTTTCTTTTATGGACTTTCAGCCAGGGGCATTTTCGGGATGACGACGTATTCCGCAGGTGCTCGCTGTGACATCCGCCTCCCGTGCAAGGAGGAGGCTGCTGCCTGTTATCTGTCAGCTCGCCTGTTATAATGCTTAGCCTTACTTCTTGGCACTGTGCGTAGAGAAAAAAAAAAAAAAAACAAAGAAAACAAGAGTACCTATAAAGTATGGAAAATGTAGAAGCCCCTGACAGTTGTATGGTGTGTCTTGCTTCTCCCACAGAGAGGAAACCACAAAATAGTGAGTCCAGGGGTTTCTTTCCACATACACAATATCTGTCAGGATTTTGAGGAATTTTCTGGGAACTGATGAAAGAAATGTGCTCTTTAAGCCCTGATATATACTGTACAACTGTTCTGTACGAGGGAGTTGCAGTGCTCCACACTGGCAGGTTCCAAAAAGCTTTCCAAAATAGAAAGAAGAAACCCAAAGGATTTCAGGGAATTTCTTCCAGGAGGGCAGATTGGCTTCTATTGGAACATAGGCAGAAGCAAAGGGGAAAATTTGCTTGTATTAAGGAGAAAAGGTACCTGATATGTTTAATAGCTGTAGTTTCCTCGCTTATCTTTTCACACCTTTGCAGGATCACCAGTGCTGGTGGGAAGTGCGTAGGAATTTTAGCAGCAAAGGGGCTCTTTCCTCCCCAGATCCAACTTTCTCAGTCCCCAGGGGTGGGAGGGGAGTCGCACAAGTAACAAGTCCCCCACTTATGTGTGCTGAAGGACCAAAACTGTGTGTAACAGTGTCAAGAGCCTGACTTGCATGGCCTTCCCGACACAGGGCTGTCAGAAGCTGCCCTGCACTCAGTGATTATTAGCAGCTGCTAACTGCGGGGATACCTTAATTAACAAGCAGAGAGTTGGTGAAAGTGCCTCAGCAAAGGGGAGCAGCCTCAGGATCAACCCCAAAAGATGGTGCAATGTTTTTATCTCTTCCTTCTGGTTAGCATTTATTGCATTAAAATAATTAATTACTGTTAATTGTTTTCCTCTCTTTCAGGTCCGCCTGTAAGTACCAAACCTCTATGCTTTAGAAGCTGTTGAGACAGAGTTTGTGGGGCATGAACTGGCACAGTCTCCCGTCTGTGGTGTCTGGTGTGGTAGCCAACTTCGCAGTCCTGACACCCTGGGATCTCCCAAACAGCAAGTACCGGGGGTTGTCAGGACCTGCACTGGGGTGGGATTGCTCTTGCCTGCGATTCAGCCTGTGAGGGGAAGATGGAGGGAGCCAGGGATGGGGACACAGCAAAACCACGTGGTGCAGGTGTCTGTGTGTTACCGGGGATGGGGACACAGCAAAACCACGTGGTGCAGGTGTCTGTGTGTTACCAGTTGGCCGCACATACTGCGGGGGAACCGGCTGCGTGTGCTTCACGTGCACTGGGTGCCACACACTGAACAAGACGTGTGTGCAAAAAAGAGAAGGATGGATCACAAACACACGGCAGGAGCCGAGCTGGAGGGAGTTTTTCCCTGCTGCTTCACCCGGGCCGGCTGAACTGCTGGGCTCTCAAGTATAGCTGCACAGCTATCAATTTCCAAGGAAAAACTGTGTTGACAGCTTCCTTTTCAAATGTTAGCTAATGTCAAACCTCAGTGCAGATGATTTAGGCTCCAGGAAAATAGCTAGGTTATTGCAGAAATTTTCTTGCAGCTATTAAGAGACCCACAGTGAACCAGCAGCAGCGATGCAAGGACTGAGGCTGTGTATCTCTCAGGATTATAAAGAAACACTATATTGTCTCTAGCACAGTCCTTCCAGGGGAAATGGTTTATATTCGTGTACAATAGAGTGACTATAGTGGGTTTCTGTGGAGGAACGTGAGAAGTTAAACATACGGTAGTCATCTTTTGTCTGTTCATGCAAAAATGTCTTAAACAGTTTGCAGATGACGTTCTGAGCAGAAGTAGTTGCTGTGCACAGCCTATTTTCTTTCCCATTTCGTCAAGCTGAAACGCTATAGACTGAACTCCCCCAGATATACGAGCACAGACCTATTTAATTACAACAATCTTCCAAAAAGTTGCACCTTCTAGGCCAAAAGGTCTGAGAGTGTTTCACAGCTGGAAGCCCCGATCCACACAAACCTTCAGCGATAGCTTATCCCAGGGGCTTTCAGGATGGGCACTGAAGTGGATGTATTTCAGCATTAGCTGTGCGTTTTGGGGAAGAAAGCACTGCTTTGGAGGGGGAGTCCATCCTCCTGCTCCAACCTAGGTAACCATATGTTGGCATTAAAGAGACAGGGTGGGCACAGAGTTGGTAGTGGTGTTGGTATGTCTGTTTATTGCTGTGAGAAATGAGAGAGAAACAGATAGCTCGGCACAGACATCCCCTAAAGAGCAGTCAGTGCCTTTGTGGGGTGAGGAAGATGCACGCTCCAGGCCTCCTCTGCAGCACTAAGGATTAGAAACCTAATATTGTAATGAGAGACTGAAGCCTGGCAAGAAGCACACGAGACCACCAGAGAAGTGCTGACATTATTTGCTACTGTATCCTGGCTTATTGCGACCCCTGAACCTGTCTCCGCACACAGACTTCCAGGACAGGCCGTGAGGAGTGCTGCAGCCAATGGAAATAATAAGAAGGAAGTCAGGCAGACTGAGCCTCGTTAGCCAAGGTGGAATTTGTCCTGGGTTAGCAGCACCCTCATCTCGTTCAGGACATCTTGGGTTTCTGAGCGAGACCACCGTGAGCAAAAGTTCACCTCTGAAGAGCCAAATAGAATCTTTCCCCCCCCTCATATTTCTCGTGATTAAAATGGCAATGGTCTTATAAGCAAACAGACCTGAACTCCTGTCTGGCTGATTGCCGTACACATTTTTCTGGAGAGCAACCCCAAAGTGCTCGCCACCCCACGTCTCTCTCCTGTTTTTGCTTCCCAGCTTGCAAAACACAACGTGCAGCGTGGCAGGGGCTTGGCTCCCAGTGCTGGTGTTGGCTTGAGTGTGGAGGTGGGCAGAAATACTCGCTAGAATTGCACTGAGCCCTGCTTGTAGTCTAGGACAAGGAGGAGAAAAGCCAGAGAAGTGGATGGGCAACACCACAGCAGCAAAAAAAAAAAAAATGGCTCTCCATGCTCTCCTCTTGCCCAACCGATGCTCCCGCCCTTATTTTTGAAGTCAGTTGAGGCTTTGGTGAAGGCAAGGGCAGCCCGCAGTCATGTTAGATATTTGGTGAGATTGGGACTAAAAGGGGCAAAGGAAGGAAGGAAATGATGAAATCGTGCAATAGTCCAGAGGTTTCCAGACTCTTGCGCCGTCTGGACCACATCCGAAGCAAAAGATCCTCTCACGGACATTTTCTCTCCCATTTCTGATCATGCAACATTTCTGTGGCATCTGTAGCAATTCCATACATGAAAAAATAATATTTAGCAGATGGAAAGTAAGGAAGAAAGTCAAAGCCCTGTAATTAGCTTGTTCTCCATGGAGTTGCAGATACCTTCAGAGCCCGTGCAGAGAGCTGTGGGCAGAGCCATGCCAAAAGGAGAGAAAACTTCACAAGCAGGAGATTAGGAAACTGAAGCAATCAGAGCTGATGATCAAGGAGCTGTGGAGAGTTTTTTTAACCATTCTGTTTCCTAAACCCATCCACGTGATTTCATCTCTTTGTCAAGCCCTCCCTTCAGTTTGAGGGTAGCTTTTGCTGTTTCTGTGTATTTTGTCCCAGGGCCTCACAGAAAGGCTGGGCTTCCAGTAAATATTTCATTCTTTCTGCTTCATCCCCTCCTTCTCTCTGTCTGGCAGTACTTTGATCAGGAGGCCTAAGCGTTCGTAAGCTGGGAGAAGGAAGTCTGGCATAGAAAATGTGCTGTGGAACAGAGTATTGCGAACGGGACGTGGCTCATACAGATGAGGGACTGCAGGAGCTGTGTAGGACCAAACTTGAGGGGAACATAATCCCCATGAGCCCTCCTATAGGTGTGGGAAACACTGCTTTTGAAGATGCCTTTGTCAGCTTGAGAGTCTGGTCGAAGAAGCACGATGTGCAGTGTTCTTGCTGATGGGACTTGCTGGTGGCAGCAGGATTTAGAAGGCCTAAGTCACTCTGGGACACATGCAAAAGTCTGTAATAACAGTATCTGCATCTGAGTTAGTCATGAGTGAGGAAGGAGTGTGGGTTTTGGAGTTAGAACTGAATGCTTTCCTGGTGATGGCTCCCCGCTCCCCAGGCTGCTGCTCACCTGGAGACTGCACGAGTTGCAGTTTCCTAATGAAGGAAATGCAGACTGTGCCGCTGACTCTCGCCTGACTCAGGACAGAGGCTGCTTGTTGCCTTTCGTGCTCCCCTAGCTCCGATGTGGGAGCTTCAGGCGGCTTTGCATGACTTCCTAACCAGCCTACATGGTATCATCCACCCATGAGCGCTCTTTCCTGGCTCCCTGTCACAGACAACCTTTCCTTATAAACATCTGGCATTTATTTGCTGCCCCGCTGGGAGCTCCCCTTTGCTGTTATTGCTCGAAGGGCTGTAAGGCTGCGCAGTCACATACCAGACACGGTGCCGTCATGTACCACTCCGACACCAGGTACTCACGGGAGACCTGACACGGCTCAGCCCCGACCTTGGGCTCTTCCTGCTCAGGCACCAGCCACAGCAGAGCCAAGAGAAATGAACTCAGCTTTTACCTCAAACCACGAGGGAGATCAGCCTGGGCTCAGCTCTGGAGGAAAGCAGCATTTAAGGGACTAAAAGCAGAGGAAGGCTCAGCGTTATGTTTTCCAGCAGCCACAAAGGAATCCCAGGGCAAGATGCTGACACCAGGAGTTTTGCTCGCTGCCGGCACACAGAGATGGGCAAATATTAGCAGGACTGAGAACCCGCCTGAAAACCCTGGAAGAAAGCAGTTTCCCATAATATATCATGGACGAAATTTAAAATCAAGCAGCTGTTCAGCGTTTGATCCATCTGCGAGGGATGCTTTTGCAAAGCATACATTGCCCTTCAATTTATCAAAACATGGGCTGCGTGGAAAGGAACGCTTCCCACACCGAGCAGCTCCGCAGAGGGAAGCGGCTGAACTTCCACCAAGGAATGGTTTGATCCCAGGCAGCAGTGTCGGAGTTTGGGTTGTACAGCCAAAAGAGCCTTTGTGTACACCCGGAAAAACAAATAGAGTGGAGTGCCTTCCCTTTCCAGAGATTTCAGACCACGTTCACACGCGCTGGGGCTGAACGTGGGGGAAGGCACGGAGAGGTGGCACCGATGGGACCGGTGTCTCCAGCTGCAGAAACCAGAAAACCAGGTTTGTGTCTGCAGACACAGTCAGCCATGGGCAAGAAAACTCTGTTTTACATAAGGAAACCCCAAACATTGCTGGAAACAGAACTGAGAGATTATTATCGTGTCATTTTTGCAAAATATAGAGCAAAAGCTACATGACTGCTGAAGCCATAATCATCAAGGTCCTTTAGCAATGAGCTGCTGTCTTACAGATCTGCACAACCTTCAGTTTTGGTGACCAGGAATGCAGAGGGGGGTGGTTGTTTTTTTTTTTTTTAATTGCATAGTTAAATTTCACTGCAAGAGGCAGCAAACTGCCTTGTAGGTAAGTGGCTGAAGAAAATTGCCACTGGTCCTGTGCTCATGTGTTTACGAGGCTCTGTCCAGTGTCTCCTGACCCGCAGTCATTCCCAAAACCACTGTTGGGATCGCTCACACCCTGACAATGCACTGGGAAGTAACTCAAAGGGGTAGAGGACACTGAACACAGCTGCTCGTATGTCTTCTTCCAGACATGCTTTTTCCTGTGTCAGCTCGTGTTCTCACATTTTTCTATTGCTTCTGGACAGGACTGTATTTTCAAGTCTAAGAGAACTGTGTTTCAGAGTGGTAACTCTATAAATAAGTAGCTAACACCCAGCTGACTTTGGTCAAGGAAGAGAAAAACGTGACAGTTGGCTACTGCAGGAAGCCGGTTCCCAGGACCTGGATTTTACGAAGTGTTGGAAATTGAGAGTACACTTTGTTTGACTGGAGATTCTTGTCCCTCTTTCGCTGCCTAAATTGCAGTGTGTGATTTCTGTTGTGAGATTTGCTGGTTTGTCGTGTGTGCACATGAACTGGTGGCTCACCCATGTTCTTGAAGACAGGTTTGGGCACACGCAAACGCACTTTCCTCCCTCTAACTTCCTTTCTCCCCCTCAAAATCCCTGGACACTTGTACCACAGCACAAAGCTGCTGCTGTGGCACACTTTATTTGTGCTGTTTTATAACCTTGCTTTTGGTCAGTTACCAATTGCCTCTGATTTTGCCTTAATTGCCAGGGAGACAAAGGTGCGATGGGGATCCCTGGGCGGCCGGTAAGTCAAAGCCTCTTTGTGTGTGCTTTACCCTCCCCATTCTCTTCCAACCCCCAGGATTTGGAGAGGGGAGCTTTCAGGACAGTCCTTGGCAGGTGTCAGTGTGAGCAAAACTACTCTCCCTGAGCCTCCCACCTGAGGGGCTCCCCTTGCTGCAGCAGGGTGGCGAGCCCTGCAAGCCACGTACATGCCAGGAGGGGTGTTTCCCTTCCCTCTGCTGTGCTATCCAGGCCCTCCTCTGGTTCAACATCCCCCTAGTTGGGTGCCTCCTGCTCCACCTCGTGCGCTGGCCGGGCTTGCTAACTGTGGGCTTGCTAACACGCACCCCTGCCTGCCACCGGCAGCTGCCCTTTCCAGATAACTCTGCCCTGAGCAAAGGGGACCCCCCCACCCCGCCTGGCTCGGGGCTGTATTTTGGAGCTGCTCCTTGCTCGGGCATCCCAGAGTGAGGATGGGGACGAGGGCTGGGGCAGGAGCTGAGGCCACCCTGCTCATCCCCACCCCATAGCCAGGGTTTTGGGGTGGGAGAGCGTGCTGCTGACGCCTGTGTTTGTCTCTCTCTCTCTCTCTCTCTTCCCTGCACCCTCTTGCATGTGGCTGCGGTGGGTGCCACTGACCCAGGGACTAAAAGGGCAATCTGGAGAAAAGGTGAGTCAGCTCCTCGTAGCCTGTAGCACCCCCAAACTCTAGGGCCTCCTCTAGGGCCAGCCCAAGCTCCCTGGTGGCAGTCATGGCCACTGCAGCCAGATGTGGGCTTCCACACCCCCAGGCTGCCCCATCTTCCATGTCAGTGCAAGTATATTTCCCAAATTCCTTCCAGGCTACTCAGCCTCTGAAGACGCTGCGTTTCTTGTTTATGACAATTTACTAACAGCATAAGGGCCAGTGGGCATACGCAGGGCTTCCCTCCAGGCTTCCTGGGTTTTAACCATTGACTTTCTTCCCCACTGGCAGCTCTGCTTGACCTAATTGACCTGCAGCTCCCCTCCACCTCCCGGGTTAGCCTGATCCCTGGTGCAAGCAGGAGCAAGGAAGAAAATGGCACAGCATGCTCCCAGTTCTGACACAGTGGGACACCCTCTCGCACACTGCTTGCCGTGCAATGAGTTGGTGTTTTGTACCCACAAAGAAACTGGTGGTTTGCAAAGCACCCTACTGCTGGCCCCTGTTTTGACATGTCGGCGTTAGTGTCCTTTCCCCAGAGCTGTGAGTACCTCCCACCCGTGAGAACGGGGAAATGGAGGTGTTTGGGGTGTGTGAATAACTGAGTAACAATGTGTAGGAATCAGGAAAGGGATGAACATTCACCTGACAGGGCTACCACCTGTGCACCGCCTTACCAGGCGTGTTTGCTCCTCTTCGTAGTAGATAAAGAGAAAAATACAGCAAGGAAGGGTAAGGTAGGACGGAGATTCTCCTTCCTTGCTTTCACTGCTTGCTCATTGGAGCCAACCAGCATTATCCAACAGACCAAGATTTCCCCACCTGAAGCCATCCTGCTTTTTCTCTGCGTGTCCTTGCATTTCTCTCTGGCCAAAGTTTTCAACATGAAGGGGCAGCAGATAGATACAAACAAGCAATGGAAAAAATCCATTGTCCCTGCTTCCCCAAAGCCCTCTGTGAGAGCCCTAGGTCCTTGGCAGGCCACAGCTTTGTTTTGCAGAGAGCTGTGCTTTGCTTGCAGGCTGCTTGGTTTATGGGACGCTCCATCCCAAAGATCCCCAGCCCTGGGCACTTCTGGAGCTGCCTCTCAGGAATACACTGTGTTTTCCAGAGAGAGGGACGTGTCCTGCCCATCGCACGCCGTGGGTGGCAAGGAGCTGGAGAGGCAGCTGTTTTCTTTTCCAGCAAGCACTTTGCTCTGTTTTCATCCGCATCTCAGCTTAGTTTGAGAAGTACACAAGCTGCCCACAGCTCCCATTTCCCTGGAGCCCAGCACATCCCTCCTTCTTTTCTTTCTTCTGTGGGACACAGTCCTCCTGGACTCGCAGAAAGAAAACAGCAAGGGTTTCAGGCCATCTTTCACACTTGCAATGGGGCAGAACGTCTGTTTTACCAGAAAGTGTTTTATGGGTTTATAACTCTCCTTGCTGTGCAGCTTCCATTTTCTGTCAAGTCTGAGTGGCTCCAAATGACATCTTTTTTCTCCTGAAGTGTGAGGCAAGAGCTGGGGGGGGGAGGCCAGAACGGCAGCTGCCCCGTAAGCCCTGAAGGTCTCACACCTGAGGCACCCTCATTTAACCCCGGTCTTGACAAGGAGTATCATTGTCTTTGTATTTTCCTTTCCTCCCTTGCTCACCCCTCTTCCTCTCCCTCGTGTCTCTGCAGGGTGCTCCAGGAGAAGCCGGCATGTCTATCATCGGGCCCCGCGGTCCGCCCGTAAGTGGCTTTTCCCTCTATTTTTGGCTGATGCAGGATGTGGGTAAGTAACTGGGAAAGGCTGAGGAGGGGCAGTAAGACACAGCATCAGCTGGAAGGAGCAAAAACCCTGTATAATGTGGTTCCCATACTGAGCCAGCCTTGGTTTTATACTGCTATTATATACTATATATAATGAAATTACAGCTCATTCTCCAAAACAAATGAGGAAGCCTTCCCTTGCGAGGAAACCATATTCCTGCATTTAAAAGGAAGAAGCATCCTTTCTTCTTGCAGCAGGGCTGCTACCACTTTTGCAGAAAATATGCCCTTTGCCTGGCTGTGATCTCAGCCTTGGTTTCTTCAGCAGGGGACAAATCCCCTGATTTTGATGAAGGAGCAGGATCAGAGTGGCGAACTCATAAAGACGGGTAGTTTGGAGGTCTTGTCGAGGACCCAAACTCCTGGAAACTCTTTGCCAGCACTTTTTACCGCTATCTGGACAGTCCCTTAGCTGTCTAGGGTGATGAGGAAAGTGCAGGCAGGATTCCACATCCTGTTCTGCAAAAACGTCCCTGCAAGGTGCAGCGAGTCAGCCAAAGTTTTTTGCAAGGATAAGGTCATAAAAAAAGACCAAGATGGAGGGTTGGAGTGTTTACATGCCCTAAACACTGGATGTTTCTTACACCGCGGTTCAGCCGTCAAGCCTCTGCTTTTGTGAGGGTGCAGCCAGTCCTCTCCACTCCATCCCTGCACAGCCTCCACCAGAGATTTCCATGAAAAAAGGCCTGGAGATTCAATTCTCTCCCTCCCAGTGGGCACTTCCGATTTTGATTAACCTGTGAAGAGCACCGTCCTTGACCTGCAGAGAGGATGGGCTGCTGGAGCCTTTGTTTCACAGCGGAGGTCAAGTGAGAGAGACCCAGGCAGTGAGAACACTTGGCTACATCTGGCTTTCCAATTAACCTTCCAAAAGCCCCATGGCAAGTGTTTCTAATAACAAACAGCTTTGCCGGGTCCCAGACCCACCTGCCTGGGATGCTGGAGTTTGAGAAGGGACAGAACCAAAACCCAGGACCCAAACAATATGCCCAGCAGATGGTCCCTGGCCATGTGTCCAGGCAAGGAGGAACAGCTGGCAGGTCTCTCAGTGCCAAGATCTGAGCAAGACCACCCTGCTCCACAAACAGCAGATTTTGGAGGGTACGTGCCATGGGGATTTTGGTGTTTCTCCCAAGCCTGTGGCTCTCAGCCTCTTGGACGGTGTAGATACAGTAATTGGAGAGAAAAGCCATCAGTCCCTGTCCATATAGGCCCTGCAAAGAGAGACAGGCATCACTGTTTTCTTGTAGGACACATGCCTGGTGTGCAGGACAGTTTTAAATGTCTGCTTTGGTGCTGCTGCCTTTGCTGTGGTTTGGGAAAGTGCAGAACATGTTGCATCTTCAAAGCAGCAGAAACTTTAGATGGCAAATGGTATCTAAAATGGGGTTTCGCCTACACCAGTTTCAAAGGCCTGATGTGCCAGGACTGGCACAATTCCACACTTTTCCCTCTGCAAAGCCTACTGTGAAGATGATCCAGTTTCCTGGGGAGCTGGTGATAGGTCAAAAGGATGGCTGAGCACTGAAGACAAACACGGAAACCCTGGCCAAGGGGCCACTCGGAAAGACGTGGGATGACAAATAGTTTCCAGATTTTTGTTTGGAGGTTGAAGTTTTCGCTCGAGCTCAGAGCCGCTTAACTTCTGGCCAGAGAGGGCCAGTGCGCCGATAGTGGCAGAAACAGACGGTCTCCATGATTTGGCAGCTCCCGGGATTGCATTCTTCATACAATCAACATTTTAAAAAGAAGACAAGGAAAAGCAGCCACCCAAGAAAAACAGTCTCTTGGAATCACTCACTGCTGAACTGTTGTCTTGGCGTGATACCGTGCAAATCACTCCGCTGTCCTCCAGAGAAAGAGGCAACAGTCTGTAGTCTACAGAGGAAGCCAAATTGCACCATTTCCAGGTTTTTCTCCCTAATTCTTTTTTTAGCACTTCTTGTCCGGGGAGGTGTCCAGCAGGGAACCAAAATTAATGAATTGTGGCTAGGCTCTTCTTGCTTCTTGCCTTTTCGGAAGCCAGCGGTGGACAGATCCTCTAATTTATAGCCTATCTTCCCTCCTGGTCACTGGCCAACAGGACCAGGTGGTTTTGTGTGTATCTTGCAAAGCAAAGCTGACCAAGTTCAACTCTGCAGAACTAAAAAAACCAGTGCAAATGTGATTAGGTCCTGCTAGCATTGTGTACGAAACCAGAACCGCCAGTGCAGCGTGAGGCGTTTTGTGGTACAGGCACATCCCTCAAACTCTGCCAAAGGACTGTTTGACCCCATCCTCTGCAGGGTTAAACCTTCACCAAGTCTCTCTGCAGATAGAGGGGAGGAGATGTAACGTGAAGGTGAAGGTTTTCCCTGCCAGTGTAGCTCTGAGGTCTCTCCCAAAGGATTCTTATTGCTTCACTGTGGCAATCCTCAGTCTCACAGCCCAGCAGGCCCCGTCCCCTCTTTCCCCTTCCCTTCCCTCAGCACCACATGGGATTGCTCTGGTTAAGGCAGAGTTGCACCCTTGTTTATAGCTCTTTCCAGGGAAACCCTTGTGGGACTCAAACAGTCCAGTCATGGTGTCTCAAATTGCTGAAGAAAGCATTTGCTTCCCCAGAATGGGAGAGCACATAAGGAGCCTGGGTTTTTTGGCATTGTAGCATAGCTTTCAGGGTAGGCAAGATGCCACAGTGGTCACTTGATGAGCATGGTACAGGATTTACCTCATCCTCCTGCTTCCATCCACATGAGTGTGCTTCAAAATCTGCTGAAGTCTGGACCATGTGGACCATGTGTTTCCTGACTTGGCTCACACATTTTTAATTTTTTTTTTTTTTTAATTGAGATAAAAATAGCCCCTAAGTGAAGCAGTATCTTTACTGGATACCCACAAATCTATGGTCACCGTGACCTGGAATGTCACAGGCCCCAAAAACTGAAGAACTGGGGAAAAATTAAAAGCCAGGACATTCTCTCTCTCTTTTTTTTTTTTTTTTTTTTTTTTTTTTTTTTTTTTTTTTTTTTTTTTTTTTTTTTTTTTTTTTTTTTTTTTTTTTTTTTTTTTTTTTTTTTTTTTTTTTGGTGTTTTTAAGTGGGCGATGAAGAAGCTGCCAAACACATCCCAAGCCAGTGTTTGCTGTACCTGATCCCAAACTGGTGGCCAGTTCTGGCTAGCTAGCAAGAGGTGGGGAAAAGACTTGGTGCTCATGTTCCTCTCGTCACACTGCCTAACTCTCCTTTCTCTCTCAGCTTTCAGAGGACAAAAAACCCAAACTGAAAAGAAAAAAAAAAAAGTCATCTCTTCTCCAGAATTATTTGTGAGGAAAATGAATGTTGTGGGACTTGAGATTAGGGGAGGAGGCGAAGGGGGATGGCTTTATTTAGACACCAGTGATCTGTGAGGTTTGTCTTGCACAGAGCAGCACCCTGCATTAAACGCCTCCAGTTTATGGCAGCAAGAATTGCCATAAAATGAGCTCAGCCTCTGGAATATACTCCAAAAGCCTAGCATATGGGCTAGGGACACCCGTTTAATTAATGTAAAAACTTCAAGGAAGCTGCTTGCAGTCCAAACTGGAGCTGCTCCAGCATTTTCTTGGCCCTGTACAAACTGGAGTGGGGATGAGAGATTTCCCTTCCTTCCCAAGACACTTTCCCCTTGGAGGAGAATTAGGTACCTCTTCAGAGAGCCTGAGGATAATTGGTCAGAGGTTGGAGGAAAGGCTCTGTAGAGAGGAGTTAGGGTCTATCAAAATTCATTTCAATTCCTCTAAACTGCTGTCTCTGTTTCATCCTTCCCAGGGACAGCCTGGAACAAGAGGTTTTCCTGGATTCCCGGTAAGTGGAGCTGTTAGTTTATGAGGTATGGGTGTGTGATGTTACTAGGAAGCCTCATTAGTGCTTACTGTATCTCATCATTTCTTCCTGAAACCAAGGACCTGATCTGATATCACTGGAAAAAGTAATCTTTTCTTCATTTGTTTTTCTTTTTTTTTTTTTCCTTTTAAGTGATACTTAGGGAAAAAAAAAAAACCAAACCACACAACTCCGAAAGGAAATTAATTTAAAAAAAACCCAAGTGTTAAAATAATATAGGTGAAGGCAGATCTGTTTGGTAAAAGAAAACCATCCTAGGAAATACCCCCAAACAAAGAAAATAACCCCTAGGTAGATTAAATTCCAACCTTAATTGAGCTTTTAGGTGATATTCCAATAGCAGGAAGTGCCTGGGATCCAAAGGGGGCCCTGCATGGTGAGGGTCAGCTGGGGACCGTGCTGGGCTGAACACCCTGGTCATGCCAAAGGGAGAGGACATAAAACATGAGAGGGAATTCTTCTGAAACACTGCTGCAGATGGGCAAGAGAACAGAGAACCAGCCCAGGAGAGGACAAAGCAAATTTCATTTCAATCCTACAGCTGCTGGCAGCACTCTCTGAAGCGCTGAGGCTGCTGGAGAACTCAAAAGGTTGCTATTTATTCATACGCATTTATCCTGGACAACTAGGAAGCCTAAGGCAAAGACAAACACCCCCCACATCCCTGCTCCCGCCAGGCAGCTCAGCTGCTGCTCCAGGACACTGGATGTGCCAGAGCAGGTCTGCGGGGGTGACTCTCACGCCTGGAAAATGGGAGGAGTTGGCAGCCTGCGAGCTGCCTGACTGGGCTCCGCAGCTCTGCCCTGTGCAGAAAGGGGGGCTCTGAGCTGCCCCGGGGCTGAGGAGAAGCAGATCTCTCCAGGCCGTTGTGGTCTTTGGCTTTTGGAGGAGCAGAAAACAAATCAGCCCGGCTCATGAGAAAGTGCCGGGTGGGACGGCACTTTGTGGAGCCTGTTTCTCGTCAAACAGTACCTTCAGCATGTGCTGAGCTGCGTGTCACCTCTTCCCTGGGACGCTTTTATTATTCTGTCACTTGCAGAAATGCCTCTTCCCCCAAAGGTGTATGCACTTTTAAGGTAAAGTCTTGAGAAAACTGCTGATTTTCAACTCGTTTAGTGGACGCTGTAGAATTTTAAATTCTGAGGGCTTTTTGCAAATTGCCTATGGATCCCTCCTCTCTTCCCTTCTTGTGTCCAGCATTGCTGCTGAAATGGGCTGACAGTGAGCAGGTCCCTGCTGGAGCAATCCAGAATCTGGGCTGGTACTCAGTGGGCCAGGGACCTGCCGGGACCTGGCAGGAGGGCCACCTCACCCCCAGTCCGTGCAGTCTTGTGGCACATGGTGCTTCCTGGGGCAGATGGACAGACACCCCGGGGGAAAAGCATTTCTCATCATTTTTCCTTTTTTATTCCAGGGCCCTATTGGCTTGGACGGCAAACCGGTAAGCAAACAACTCTGCAGGCTTCCTGTCCTGCCTCCTGCTAGGTCCCACTGTCCTGCCAGCCTGTGTCTTACACCAGTATGTTTTTAAGGGGATTATTTTGCAAAGTCATGCACATGCATGGATTAAAAGAAAATTAGGAGGTTGGCAGGCAGGAGGATACCACAGATGCCTTGGGGGGATATACAGGAGTCAGGAGAACTAGGGAAGGCAGAGCGTGGCCTCTTCCTTTCTAGGGAAGTCTATAAAATAGCACGTCACAAGTGCAGCAGCCTGGCTGCTGCAAGGAAAGCCTTAGCAGGCACTCCCACCCCGAATCAGACAGGCAGAGCAGGTCCCCGAGGCACCAGCCCTCTGCCTTAGCCAACTGCTTCCTTTGAAGTTGACCCTACAGCTTCTTTCTCTTTGCTGCTGTGCTGAAAAGAGCTGCAGAAGTGGGAAGGACCCTAAAGATCCCCATGAGACCTCCATGCTGTCCTTAGAGCCTCCTCACCATCAGCTTTGTAGTAGAAAAGCTGAAGTTCTTCCCATCCTTTGGAGAGCCAGGCACAAATACAGCCACTTCCCCATGAACCCAGCAGATACAAAACCCACAGCTCCACGTAGCAGCCATGCAGAAAGGTTCCCCACCAGCTTCCTCTAGCCATGCTGCAGGGGAAAAGGAGCTGGTAGCTCATACCTCTGGCATCTAACTTCCTGCAGCAGGATCCTGTTTTTGCCGTGAGGAACATGACCCCCAGGAGAAACCCAGCAGCCTCTCTCTCGTACTGCTCTGTGGGCACACACTGCACTCAGCAGAAGCTGCTCTGCCAGCCCGAGGGGGGCTTAACTGTGTCCCTGCAGAGCCTTTTCACCCTGTATTCAGCCCCCAGAGCTTTGTTCTTAGCATTTTGGGGTAGCAGGCAGTGGTGTCCTCTTAACTGTGTGAGCAAAGCTCAGCATTGCATCCCCCTTTGGAGGTACCTCCCGAGGTAAGGGGGAAGTGGGGGAAGTAAACATCATCTAGTGACTGCAGTGGCCAAAGCTGATGCGTGTTTTCTTTCTTCTGCAGGGTCATCCTGGACAGAAGGGAGAGACGGTAAAAATATACATGTTTGTCTGCAGGTGATGGGTAGGTTCGAAATGATGCTGCCTCTCAGCTGGAAGCAAGCTCGTAGGCAGGGTAGCAATCTTCGTTCAGCTGATGCACGAGCTGCGTCCCTAATTCTGTAACTTCATAATAGCAGTGCTGGGAATCACGGCTGTAATTTTTACATTATGGCTATCAGACTCATCATGTCACAACAGCAGCTCTCTAGTTACGCATGGGATGGGTTTCCCTTGCAGTTAGCAATTACGTTCTTTAAATATATTCTGGGAGCTGACATTTTTCAGGGTTGGCCTCATAGCAGAAGTAAAAGTTGATGGAAAGATTTCTCAGAACCCATCTGGCAGCTTTCAACTTATCTAACAACAACCCAAAAAAGCATATTTTTTGCATTAAATGTGTTCCCCTCCTTCCCCCCCCTTGAAGCTGCGTTTCATATGTGCATCGTACTTAAAATGCATTTGGTTGAAAATGATAAAACTTCGGCCGCACTTGATGGAAGCCCAAATGCGGTCTTGTTCCTCTTGACATCTCTGATGATGAAATCCCAAACACGAGTATGCCGAGCTAGCAGCCCTGTAGTCACCTTCGCTCACTGGAGTGCTGAATGTTTTCTTCTGCTAATTCTGGTTTTTTGAGCCCGAGTGTCAGTACAACCCTCTGGCAAGCACATGTTGAAGATCCCCACTCCCATTGTGCAATCCTAGCTCAGGCTTCAGTCCTGGCTGCTTCTGGTTCCATCGGCCAAGGAGCCGCGCTGTCAGCTGAGGTCCTGGGAACAATAAGGGTGTGTTTTCCTGATGATTTTCCCCCTCTCCTTTTAATAATCCCCACCCCCCCACCCCGCAGGGCAGCCAGAACATGTGTGCATTTTCACTCCTCCAGAGTAACAAAGGGAGCCCAGATCTCTCTTGGGAGCTTTCTCCACAGTTGTTTTTAAAAGCTGAGTTTTTCACCTACTCCATACAGTGAGAGTTGTTGTCTTCTTGTCACTGTAAATGGCAAACCATCTCATGTTCACATATGTATTTCTTTAAAGGGTGCTACAGGTCCCAGGGGACAACCTGTAAGTATCCAAGTATCCCATCTCATCCTTATCCCTAATCCCTCTCCCTTGGCATTCACTGAAGTCATTAATTTACTGAGGCCTATTTTGTCACTTTTCTTTTATAGGGACCCCCAGGACAAAAAGGAGAAAAGGTAAGTAAGTTCAACAGGAGACGTGTTAAGAATTAAATGTAAAGACTGGAAGGGACTCAGTGGACTTGGTGCTGCTCAGTCTGAGTGGTTGAGGAGTACAGGAAGAGCAGAGGGCTCAGGGGACAGGAGGCAGGCTGCTTACTGGGTGCAAAGTGGTATAACTGCGCTGAATTTGATATAGTCGCAATGATTTACACCTTCTGGACCGGACCCCGTGTGTGCCTATTTCAGTCTGCTCTGTTTGTGGTTTAAACTCTTTCCTTTTAATCCTGTTCTTTCACAGGGTCAGTGTGCAGAGTACCCGCACAGGGTAAGTCATTAGTGTTATTATCCTCTGTCCCGTGCCTTCCTGCATGTTAATCCTCCCTCGTTTGAATGGCTTTTTGTTGGAAGTAGAGATCGTTTCATTAACGAGGTGCGTCATCTGGGCCCCGAGGGCAGCGCTTGGCTGATTGATGTGTTTCGCAGAAAAGCAGCAGATAAGGTTTTCCAGGAGGGATGTTGGTTCTCCGGTCTGCTCCTGCCCACCGGGGCTGACCCCTAGATATCTGCTGTCATTGCTGCTTCCTGGAGATTTGTGCCGGAGAGGGGAAAGGTCTGTGTCCTCACTGCAAAACCCAGCGAAACCTGAGGTTTCTGGAGGAGTAGGGGTCACCCACATCTTGTGCTGCAGCACCAGCTGAGGCTGCTTCCACAGCCTCTGCGGCAGTTGCGTGGCCAGGAGCGGTGTGGGGTTTGCAGACCTGGGAGAAACTCTATCATCCCTTCCTTTTTTCCCTCGTGCTGGTCTCATCCCTGCACAGGAGCAAGGGGAAGGATTGTGCTCCCTGACCTGCCCTGACCACACTCCTCTGGCTGGTCCCCGTGCCGGTCCCCAAGCCTGGTGGGCTTTCTGTCTGCAAGGCTGAGGCTGAGAGGGAGGGTTGATGCCAGCAACCATTTAATGAAAGCCAGGATGTTGCCCCACTTGCCTTTTCATCCTGGCCTGACCGGCATGTGCCACAGCCAAGAGTGGAGAGAGTACATCATGGGGTTTGAGGGGATTTAACCAGTTCTAAAAACAACCAGAGTGCTGAAAATCCACTGGAAATGCATTGGAACGACATCATATGAAGTGGCTGGAATTTGTAATCTGGGTGTACAGGGAGACAGGCTTAAGAGCTTTCTGTTTATTTTTGACGAGCCTCTGGATAATTAGCTGGGCTCTGGTCCCTGGCCCCGAGGGAGCAGGGCTGGGATGCTCAGAGCAGCAGAGCCGGTGGAGAGAGAGCTGGGCTGGCAGCAAGGGAGAAGAGAGCCATGGGTATGTGCCAGTCCCCGTGCAATAACAGCCGGTCAGCTGTGTTTATTTAGCGAGCCGGCTCACTAGATTGTTATGTTAAAAAGAAGCCAACAACAGTGATCACCCAGCAGCGTCCTGGGTCCTGTTACATACACACCTTGGCTCCCGCCGTCCCCAGCGCTCAAGGTGAAAAGCAGTGGCAGACTCAAAGCAATACTGGGAAGGGAGATGCAGCTGCTGCGTCCCTGGGCTCAGGCCTGGGGGCAAAGACACGCTGGTTCAGTGGGTCGGGGTTGTAGGGTGACACGCTGCAGGGCTGTGACAGCGGGAAAAGGGCGGGTGCAAAGCTTCACATCTTAGCAGTGTTTCCTTGGCTCTCGTGGAGGTACTTTTGGTCTCCATGAGGCAGCAAGTTCAACATTTTCAGAAGCCCATGAGTTGTTCAAAGGCAGAGGCATGCTCATGGAAAGGGTGACTGTCCTCAGTTCAACTCGAGGATGGGCTGTGCTGAAGGCTCTGGTCACAGACTGTGCAAGCTCAGGGAGCCAGAAGCACAGACCAGCCAACAGAGGTGCAGTTCTCTTTCTTCCTCTCTGAATGAAAATTAGGGTGTTGTAAAAGTGCTACACAGCTGACTGAATTGCAGTTTACTCTTGCTTTTCTGTTTGACAAGGTTCTTTGTCAGTTTTTCTGAGTGAGGAAATGAAACCCAGGGATGTTGTTTCAGTTTTGTTTCGTCTTTGTTTTTGTAGGGAGGAAATACAAGGTTAGGCTATATGCCTTGGCTCTTGTTGTAGTTTCCTATTTTTTTCCTGTATAAGTCTGTGTGGCCTGCACTGCTGTGAGGGATGAGCCCAGGCATTGGGGCTACATTTGGGGTGAGACAGCCATTCGAGCTGCTCAGAGTGCTGCTTTGGGGAAGGGGGGACCAGCCGTGCTCCATCTGCTCTCAGAAATGCCGTGTGTGTCTAACTGACCCCGTTTGTCTCACGTGTCTTCACTGTTCCCCAGGAATACCTAAGTACCACCCTTGCAGCCCTGCGCTCTAACCAGATCCTTACGCTGAAGGTTTGTGGGTAATGGTCTGATGTGACCCAATCCTGAAGCAAAGGCATGAGGATGTGGATCCAATATTGCACATTGCCTTCTGAAAAAACTTCCCTTTGGGATACAGAGGAGGTGCAGGGCAGGAGCTGGGTGGCAGAGCCTTCAGATTTCTTCTCTGAACTCTCCCACTTGCACCTGAATCCATTGCTGGGTCTTGTCTGGCCTCTGTTTTTTTTCCTCCTTATCCTTTCCAGCATCTTCCTTCTGCTTCTCTGTAAGCTGCGTAATATTTCAGATAGCCCTCAGTGCTGGAGGAGCCAGTCAAAGCCAGCTCAGCTGGCTCTTCTGAGCTATGGGGCCTCCTGCAATGTCTTTTAGAAAGGGGAGAGTTGCCTTGGGATAAAATCAGCCCAGCTGAGTTTCCAGCAGCACCGCTTCTGGGGCGATAGCCTGTGGCATGTCTGGATCCGAGCGTTCCAACCTGATCACAATGCTGCAATATTGGGTTGCCACTTCTCTTTGCAACAGGACTGGATCCTTGCTTTCCCTGCACACACGAAGGACAGTGTTCAGCAGGAATAAAGCGCGCCAGTTGGGAGCGTACGGTGACTGTGGTGGGAGACCTGTGGGCACACCTCTGGGATCTGAGCACAGCTCACGTGGGGAGCGGCGCACACGGGCACGATTTTGTGCCTGAGCACAGAAAGCCTCTCTCTCTTCTCCCTGTGTAAATCAAGAGCAGCTTCAATGGAAAACTGATAGCAACAGGAAAGTGGATCAGGCCAGAGGAGCATTCCTGGGCCTGGAGCCGGCACGGTGGGTGCCAGGCTGACAGCAGCGTGCGTGCAAGTGGAAACTGGATACAGCAGAAGGATGAACAAATGCTCCTGAGCTTTAGTGCATTTGATTTCTGTGTGTCCGGGTCAGCTTTGTGCCCTAAGGCAGCATTCCTGGCTATAAGCAGTCAGAGGGTGATGTTACCATTGAGCAAGGAAAAGCAAAGCACAGGCTACCAAGGCAGTGTCCTGCTCAGGACTCTGGTTCCTAGGCCTGGTTTTCTCCCTTGGTCGTGGTGGTTGTGTCTGCCCAGCTAAGTGAAGCACGCCAGGACCTGTTTGTTGACCTCAGCTAGCCTCTCTTCACTCTCACACACCGAGAAAGGGTGAGACCTGGAGACACACTGGGTTTCTTGTAAGGGAACTAGGAAAACTGCCCTTGGAAAACTTGTAGAAAACTGTCATTTGGATAGTTGCCCCAAATGTGATGATGAGACATTAAGAGAAAAAACAGTCTCATCACTGGAGATCTTAGCAGGGCCAGTGGGGGGATGTCTTGCAGTGAACACTGCCTATGGACATGAGTGGAGCTGAGTTAAAACCCCCGTGGGTAAGTTGTGTTTCTGAGCAGAGGAAGCTGTACAAGCTGTGTGCAGTGGGAGCACTGGGATGGCGAGTGGCCACCCTGCACCTGCCAGGCTGGCACTGCCAGTCCCCCCGTGAGCGGCGCGGGGAGCTCAGAGGTCTGCCCGCAGGTCCCCGTGCTGTGCTCACGCCGGGCTTCATTTTCATGGCAATCTCTCTGTTCCCCTCTTCTCTGTTCTCTCCCCTGGCTCCTCTCTGACTCTCGGTGCCCTAATGGCCTCCTTTGCCCTGTGACCTTCTGGTTTGATCTTCTTCAGCTGTTGCCTCTCCTCAATTCAGTGCGGCTGGCTCCACCTCCGGTCATAAAGAGACGCACTTTCCAGGTAGACTTCTCCTCCTCGTTGCCTGTTTCTAAGCTTATCCTGATGCCTTGCCATTAATCAGCTTGCTACCTGTCTTTCTTCCCCTGCAGAGGGGTTTCCAGGAGTTTCAGGCAGAGCCGAGGGACTTTCTTTGAAGCGGAGGAAATCTTTGATGTGATAATGTTGCTAAAAAGAAATGCAGCGAAGCCAGTTTTTTGAACTGAAAGAAATGGGCCATGAAACTGTTCTTAGGGCTGTCGACAAGCAGCCTCCTCCCTAAAGGAGTCAGTTCCTGCATATTCAATCTCCAGAAGAGGTTAGAAACCTCTTGCTGAAATGCAGCTAATGTCTGTGAAATTTAACTGAGATGAATGAATAGGCAAACGCTTCTTCTAAGGACTAGTCTAGTCTGAGGCACTTGGGAAATGTGTTTAAATAAGCTCTTAGAATGGTTTCATTAAATTGCATTAAATCTTTGTGTAAACACATTTATTTTTGTTTCCAGGACCATAATTCATGTTTAGTTTACTTTGGGAATTAATTCATAAAGTGAATTATGGACATATGAACAGTGAATAAGAGTGGCCGTAGTCAGAGTTCATGTGGCTTTTAATGAGCCCACTTTAAGCTCCCTCATTCCATCAACTGGGATTAACTCTCCCATGTGGACAAACCGCTGTAATTACCCCGTGAGGTGTCCTGGGCACTCTCTATTAAGTGGCTGGGTTTTGTCACCCTGCTGCCTGTCTAGACAGTTGGATGCTAGCAGGGAACTGCAGGATGCAATTAGAGACCTTTACCATGAGGTGCCTGGTCCTTGCCCAGCGCTGGACAAATCCTGACCTTGCTGCTTGAGCCCGTGCTTTCGGTTCGGTTTCTACCGATTCAGCATTTGCACCACACAGAGCCCCATGGCTTGCACTGTTTGCCCTTCAAAGTGACAGTCTGGAGAGCCAGGCCAAGGACTGACCTCTTGGGAAGGCTTTGAAAGCTGAAGTTCCTCTCCAGGATGAAGTGGGAAACTTGAATAGCTGCCCTACGTCCTGTCGTCAGCCAGGGCTGCAAATTCCCTCTGTCCGCAGAGGCTTTAACTTCACCGGAGAGTTTTGCCATGATCTGTTTTGCTGTTGCTGTTTCATTCTCTTAAGTGCAAGAGTGTAATCTGCTCCTACAGGTCTGCCAGCACCAGGCAATTCCAGGAGCCCAGTGTATGAATACTAAGAAAAAAAGTGAGGCTGCAAAATGAGTGTAGTGCCAGCACCTGGAAGAGAGGAAAATCCTGCTGCTCCCTCTGAGCACATCAGCAGGAGTGCTCTGCCCAAAGGCCGGGGCTTAGCCGAGACAGGGGCTGAGCAGGGTCCTGTGTGAGGAGACTGAGCAAGCATGGCAGTGCTGGGGTGCAGTCAGGGTGGCTGCCTGGTGTTTAAAAGAACTGAAAAATAGCTACAGTCAATGGCTAAAAATATAGAATGACAACTGACGAAAATGACACCTGATCTCCCACTTACTGTATCCACTTACTGTCTGGTTAGCTCTGTGGGGGTCCTTTTGTGCTGAACACATTAATAAGACTGTAATGATGTGGTAATAACACTTTGCGTGTTTAGGGATCTGCGTGGATGGGCACTCTCCTCGACAAAGCCCACTCTGTCCAAGACAACAAAGCGAGGGTGATGGGAACGGGGGTTTGAGTGAGCTCCTTTCAGCTGCTGCTCATGCTGGGGCAGGGCTCCTGCTCTTCCCAGCTCCCTGTCCCCTGCCAGCGCCCCTTCCAAGCACTGTGCTCCATTTTAGTGCCCTAGACGTGGAACATGGGCCGGGCTGGCAGAGAGCAGCTGAGGTGGGAATAGAGGAGGGAGTGCCAAAGTGAGATGGGTAAAAAGCCCCCTTTGCCTTCCCTTGGTGCACCCATGCTGGGGGTACTGTAAGATGTAGTGGCAGAGAAGTCTCTGAAGTTTGGATGAGAGGCCAAGGCATGAGGAAATCTAGAAATATACTCCAGTGTCCTCCAAACATCTTAATTAGACCCAAATTACCGTCCACATTTAAAAGCTATGAGACCGTTTACGTGACAGTTGAACGGCACTGAGTGTGGAGGATGGGGAAGCTTAGGAAAGGTCCTGTGTTCCCTTGCATGGGCCATAGGATACACTTTAAAAATGGAGAAAAGCGAGGATACCCCTCCTGCCTGGCCCAGCAGACTTCCCAGTGTGGGCTGTGGGTTTAGAGGAGCAGGAGAAGGGCTGTGGCTTTACACATGACTGAGCGTCTCGTGAGTCTGGCCCACGTGTTGGAAATTCTCTTTTAAATAGAGCTCATGGAAGAAGGGATGAAAATTTGCAGCTTATTACTTTCATCTATCATTTTAAATAAAGCAAACATCCCTGTGTTTGCATGTTTTACTAAAGGCAGCCAGGATGAACAGCACACTTGGTAGGAACACACGGCGGGGACAGATTTCGTGCATCCTCCTGCAGTGTGTAAGGCTGCTGTAGAGAGGATAAATGCAGTGGAGACCCAACTGCACACCTATTGAGTTTTACTTGAGAAACAGCCACGTTTGATTTCTGGCTTCCCATGGATCCACCAAGGAGAGTTTTTCTCATTTAAAGTGGATCACTAACAGCGATCACTGTCACGATATTTTATCCAGGGAGGGGAGCCTGTGAGACGAACGGCGCGGCACGGGCGCCAACGGTGCCTCAGGAGCTCCCTGGATTCATCAATTGTGGATCAGCAGTCTGGTATTCAAACGTGGCGCTTCCAACCCACTGTCTCCTCAGCGCCGCTGGGTCCCACGTCCAGGTCCTCAGGGCCAGATGACATTGCTGAGGCATGAGCCACAGCCCCCGAACGGCTACTGAGGGCCCGGGGAGGAACCGGCTCAAACGGCCCTGTGGCAGAGAGCTTAAAATGGCAGGTGGCTCGGCACACGCTGCCTTGTTAAATCTTAGAAAAACAGGCTCTGCCTGGTGCACGTGGGCCTGCTTTGGGTGGGCTCCAGAAATGCCATGATGATCGTGTTATTTTTTTTTTTTTTTTTTTTTTTTGGGGTTGTGGCATTTCTACTTTTGGTCCTTGGCAAAACAGAGGGAGTGTTGTCCAACAAATATAGCATGGGGGGAAAAAAAATAGGCTGAGGTAAGACACTGCGGGTTTGCCTGGAAGTGCCACTGTGGTCACGGGAGGGTTTGCTTCACATGTGACTGTCAAGTGCTTTGGAAAGCCTCCTCAGAGGCTCAAGAGACATCAGTCTTTTGCATGAATATTGTACTTGACCGACTCAATGAAGAAAAAGGTCTCTTTGGACTGCTCTGTCATCTATAGATCCCTTTAGAACAGAGGTCTGACCAGGCAGCTTCAGATGTCTTTGCAAACCATAGGGTGCTGGCCCTGCTGCCCAGGCAGCCCAGCCATCCTCAGCAGGGCTCTCCATCACTCTTGGAAACTTCTCCTGTTACTAACCTGCTACTTGCTTCTACCTCATCTGCTTCAGCCAGGCTGGTCTGCCTTGGGCCCTTGGGGTGGCAGTGTGAAGGGTTTGCTCTGCCAGCTGATAACCTCCTGTTTTACAAACCGCAGGGTGAACAAGGACAAGCAGGGATCCAAGGTCCCCCAGGGCCCCCTGGACCACCAGGGCCCGCTGGACCGGCTGGACCTGAGGGAACCCCAGGACGTCCTGGGCCAGTTGGACCCCCTGTAAGTCCAATTACTGAAAAACTAATTCTTCTGCTTCCCCTTCCCCCGGGGCACAGGCAGTTTCCTCTGGCCTCTCTCGCCTGTGCTGAAGCTGAGATAGTCACGGACAGGAGACTTGCACAGGATGTGGATGTGTGGAGAGGATGAAGTTCCCAGGAAGGAGGGGAGCGGGAGGGAAGGCGGAGGTGTGCACTGGGCACTGCTGCTATCAGGGCACACAGTGGGTGACACCAGGCTCATTTCCTCCTCCTCAGACTCTGCAGAGGGCCCCGGAGAGGAAGTAACGCGAGGGGTGTAATTGTTGTGCTCAGAGCAGAAACCTGACTGATAAGAACCCCCGCCACCCCTTTGAAGTCTTGTCCCTGTTCCAGCAAGCAGCCAAGGAGGGAGAGGAAAGAAGCACCATTTATAAAGTGACACCGTTGCTAAATGGCAGGGGACAGGGCAGAAAATCCTGCTAATGTACCTCTCTCTTGTAACAGGGCAGAGCAGGAGAACCTGGGAAGCCTGGCAGAGACGGAAAGGTGGGTACCAGAAACCAGCTCCGTTCCTGGGAGCTGCAGGAGGAGACGTGGCACGCTGGCTCTGCAGCCTCTGCGGAATGAAAGGAGTTTTCCATCTTAAAGAGTTTTTAAGGCCTGATAGCAGGACAAGCAGGTCTTTTCCCCAGAGGCAAAAGCACCTCTCCACATGCAGTACTGGGGTCAGGGATCCTGTAAGCATCCTCATTTCTCTCTCAGCTCTGAGGAGCCAAGGATAGGATGGCTGAACACTTGAATTGCCATAAGCAGGCAACATCAAGGCTGATATTAGGCATCAGAGCATATCTAGAGTAGTTTTCCCCTTCTGTGTGCTCACATGCAGCTCTGGCATGGATGTTTTGTTTGTTTATATTTACATACACACATATCTGGTATGATTCATGGTTCATATCAGGTAAATTGTTTGGTTATTTCTCATTTAAAGACACGAGTGGTTTGTTTGTTAATATATTCTCTCTATTTAGCTTGTCAGAGGAAGCTGCAAATGCCTGATTTACTCCAGAGCTGCACAGTGGGTACAAATTTCCCAAGCAAGCCAGAGAAGCAGAAAAGATTCTGGAGTGTAATGCACAAGGCAAAGCAGCTCTTGGGTCTTCTGATTCAGCTAGATCAAACCTGGGAGGATGGAGCACTACAAGCACGGATTTATTTGAGTATATGGGTTAAGACAGTGCTCATCTACATGAAGAATAGGCTGGGGCTGTTTGAGCTCACCAGTGTAAATCATCTCTGTAAAGGGGTGTTTCAAACCAAAGCGTCTCCCGTCACCCTGCAGTCCACGTAATGTCTACATTTGCCAACCCCAGTGTCTGATTTTATCCACAGGGCTTACCTGGGCCTCCTGGACCAAAGGTGAGACATCTCACTTCATTTAGAGGTGCAGCACGGTGTTAAACAGGGGTGGATGCTCCTGGCGAGGACAGATGTGTACATTTTGATGGGCGGAGGAGGGGAAAGGAGGTTACATCAAATAGCTGCGAAGCATTTCTAACCCGTCTCAGCATCGCCTTTGGGGCCCAGCCCGTGTGCTGATTCATGGGTTTTGTCCAGGCGACACGTCTGAGTTGCATCTTGACTGAGCCAGGCACGCCTCATCAGCCCCTCTTGCAAAATTGTTTGCCACACACAGCTTTATTGGCCTCTTCCATTCTCAAAGCATTTCCCAGCGCTTCAGGAATGGATTTTGCAATGCTATTGTTAACTCCGCCACGGGTTCCCATTTATTCACTTGCCAAAGTGCAAGGAGGGGGGTGGTGGTTGCTGTTTTTCAGCTGCAGCCACCCACCCTAATTTGTTTTTATCTGAGGTATGTAGCCAGGGTGAGGAGATGGGAACCATGGAGCTGGGGCACAGAGCTGGCACGTGTTATCCGGCTGCCAGGGCTTATTGTGCCTTTCCTGCCAGGACTCAGCCCAGTGCAAGTAATGGTGACCTGTGGGTCTGAAGGGTCAGAAGCTCAGTGGAGTTGCTCTGAGCAAAAGGAGAACTCTCCCCATGGAATGCCCTTCCATCCTAGCAATAACTCAGGGAAAAAGGCAGAGATTTGTCCTTCTCAGGCCGAGCCTCACTTTCTTTTGTCTTCTTGCCTTTTGCAGGGAGAGGCTGGGATTCAGGGATACCCTGGCAGAAAGGTAAGGAGAGGGAAGCCCAGTGCTGTTAAATGAATTAAGTGCACTGATGCCTTGTGGAATCGTGGCTGCAAATCTCTGGACTACTCTGGAGCCCTCTGTGGAGCTCTGCTCCCCCTGGACGTGGGGCTCTGGAGGTGTCTTGAACTCTGCAGCAGCTACAGAACAGACTCCCCGTGTGTGTGCCCCTCTCCACCCACTTCCAGGCTGAAAGGCAGGTCTTGTTTATCCAGGCCTGAACAGGAGGCTGGAAAGGGCCAAATCCCTGACTGTGTACTGCTCTCTGGAAATCAGGAGAGAGTCCCCAACCTGCTCCAGGTTAAGAGGCAGAAGCTGGCAATGTCCGAATGCCTTGAGCAGCAGGGTTGTCAAGTCTGGAGGGTGTAATGAAGAGATAGAAAGAGAGACAGGGGAAAGACACAAAGGAAGATCAAAGGGGAGAGAGGGGATGAAGAGATGTCAGCTGGAGAAGGGGAAGGTGAATGTTCCCAGCAGGCAGGAGTCCTGTGTCCCCTGTTATCTCCACGTTGCTTTATGGGTGCTCTGCGAGTAAAATGGCAAGACCTGAGAGCTTTTTAATTAGCTCTGTATAAACTGAGAAGTTTTTGTTATGTCAGGAAGTGGAAATTATAGCCCCTGCAGACCACAGCCCACTCCTGCAGACAGACACAATTTATTGCCCCTTCTCCCAGCGAACCGTTGGATTTTCCATTAGGAGCCCATCCTGCTCCGTGTGCGCTGGGCGGGCGGTCCCGGCAGCGACCTCACAGCGAGGGCTTCTGCTACCAGCTCCTCTTACACAAAACCACTTGTCTGGCTAATTTACTTCCGAGCAAAGAGCCTGCAATGATCGTGGAGGAACGAGCCCAGGGTTGTGACCTTTCTCTGGGAAAGGTGGAAGGAATAGATGAAAGTAGGGGAGCAAACCTTAAGGAAAAGGGAAAAGAGGGCAAAATGTAGAGGAAAATTGTTAACTCAGATAGGATACAGGATATGGGACCGCTCCCTTCCCGACATTTCACACACATCTTTTTTGCTGCAGAATGGTGTTCCTCTCCCAGAGAGACCCAGGTGGTAGGTTGATGTGGGGGAGGCACCTCAGTGTGGGACATCCCTCTCACATCTCTGCTGAGCTTCCTGCAGCCCACAGCTCCTTTTCTTGCTGCTGTGTTTGCTCCTTCCTCCGTTTTCTTCTCTTCCTCAGGGTGAGGTGGGCGAGTCCGGCCTGCCCGGTGCCCGTGGCCTCCCTGGAGCCTCTGGCCCCAAGGTAACCCTTCAACTCGAGTCAGTGGGGGCATCTCCCAAGGGCAGATAACTGGCCCACAAGCCTAGAGACACACGAAAGGATGCCAAAGGCTGGGGACTGGAGGCAGTTCTCTAGAGCCTGGAATGAGCCGTGTAACCAGGAACACGCTTGCTCCTGAGTGGGGAGCCTGGCCAGTTGTTGGCCAAGGTGATTTCATGCTATCCTGAACCAGTACCTGCACAGGGCTTCATTACAGAATAAAACTGACCCAGCCTTTAGAGGCTTTTGCACCCGGGCTGAGGGAATGGGCCGTGAAACATTTTGATGGTTTCTACACCCAGATCATGTGGAAAAGCATTAGTATGGGTGACCTCCAGCATCCACTCCAGGAAGCAAAACTGCCTTGCGTTCCCTGGGAGGGGTGGGCTGCAGCCAGCGCTCGGGCTGGTACCGTGTTGCTGTCAGGAGAACCAGAGGCCTGGAGCTGCATTATCACACCTCTCTTTTGGCTGCTTTCCCTCTGTCCATCGCTGTTACAGTTGTACTGCTTGCTCAGTTTCTCTTTATGATGTTCACTGTCCCTCTCTCTCTGTTCCCCCCCACTTTTCTCTCTCCTTTGCTGGGCAGGGTGAAAAAGGGGACGCTGGCATAAAGGTAGGCATGAGGAATATGTTTTTCTAAGGTGCGGTAGATCACCTGGGAAGAAGATACTGCTCCTTGGGCTGATGGATTGCAAGGGGAAGTTGGGTCCGAGGCAGCTCTGTGGGGTATTTAATGGAGTGCACATCTGTGCTCTGATTAACCACAGACAGGCACTCCGAGCTCAGGCAATAAAAGCAGCCTTTATCCGTTCGGTGGAATTCGATTCTTACCAAAGGCATTTCTCCGACTATGAAGCTTGCTGGTGATTTGTTACATCTCTCTATTTGATGGGCTAGGTTGGGGTTTCCTCATAAAATCTGGTTAGCTGACGCATCAAATCCACTCAAACTCCGCAGCTCAGGCTGAGGTTTGGCACCAGGCATTTCTGTCTGTTTCTGGACACTTTTTACAGGCTCGTATGGTCTGTGCCCAGATGTTATCTATTTGACTGAAATTTACTGTGCCCATATATTTAAAGTGCATTACTCAATGTAGACTGTGCTTAAAACATTACAACATTGGCTGGTGTTCATGGCAGTCAGAGCACACTGTGTCATTCCATACATCTTAAACATCGCGAGGAAAGACTGGCCCTGTAATACTTGGAAAAGCATTAGCAGTGACACGTACATTTCAAGTATTTAGTCTGTGGCATGCAGCTCATTTATCGTGCGGCACATACGCTTTCTATATCTTTTCCATCTGGGTGGATTATTGTTTGAAGGGAGGAAAGGCCCCTTCAGAGGTTACCAAGGATGTGTTACGTGGAGTTTAAAGAAGTGTTTCTTAGGGAATGCAGGATCTGGGTCCATAGTTGAATAGAACAGCAGCAGTTGTCTTCCTACAAGAAAACTATACCTCCTCAGAAATACTGAGATGCATGTAGAGTCCAAATGTTCCCTGTGTCCATCTCCACATCGGTGTAATTCCATCAAGCACAGAGGCATCACTCCTGTTTGTGCCAGTGTGAATAAAGGTGGTATTGCACCCCAGACTGATGTGTTTTGGGGGCTCAAAGTTTTTCATCTCTCCTGTTAATCAGAACTGGAGGACTGAAGTCAGAGTGTAGCCTGGGGGGGAAGAAAAGGCTGGAAGGGGGAGTCGTCTTTCACCCCTGCTTATACTGCCACGTTTCAGTGCCAGCAGACATCTGCTCTGCTTGTGCCCATGTACAAGGATTGGTAGCCCTTCATTAGATCTCTGGCAAAGGGAAGAAGTCTCCAGGTATTACAGTGATGTCTCAGGGCCATCCACAGGCAAGAGCCTTCCCTGACTCGGGGTCACCCCAGAGACACACTCTTGCTACTTGGCCCCTTTTCAATCCTTTATTCATCTCACATCACAAAGAGCAGAGATGAAACTTGCGACGATTTTTTTGTGATAGTAAATTGCTGCTCCTAAGGGGCACCTCCCCAGACCCAAAGTGGCGGCGTCTTTCACACACAGACTTTAATTTGTTATTGTCAGGGTCACTTTTCTCTCAACTTCCTTTCTTTTTGCTCAGAGGAGTTGAAAGGGAAGTGCAGAGGTACCCTTAAATCAGCAGCCAGACCGCACCCTGTTGCAGCTCTTGGGCGTCCCCCAGCACGTGCATTTGTTGTCTTTGGAAATTGCTGCTTTCTGTTGTCTCCCACCTAAGAGGATTGATTTAGATTCTGGAAAACTTTTAATGCTTCCAACGTTGGATCCAACTATCTGGGCTAGATTCTACCTTCTCTTTGCTTTCAGGAGCCCTTCACTGATGTTTTCTTTTTTTTTTTTTTTGAAAGGTCTGTAGGATGAGGCTTTTTCTCATTCTTTGAGGAAGGAGCAATAAATAAAGTGCCCACAGCCTTGCTCAAAAACCCTTCATAATCTGGCTCTCCCCTCAAGGAGCAGAAAGGAAGTGTGTCTGCTTTAATTGGGAGCTAACGAGCTAATCAGCCTGGGGCGTCACTGGCACCCCGTGGGGATAAAGCTGTTCACACCAGGGCTAGTGTAAGGGTTTCTTTTGTGCGGAGGGGAGAGATATAGCCTAACTTTTCGGGAGAGGTGTTTCCTGAACCGGCGTGAAGCTTGCGAGGGAGCTGGGAGGTGCTGCTGACTGCCTTGCTGGAGCCCACTGGGGACCTGTGGGTGCTTTGCCTTTTGTACCCACCTTCGGTGATGTTTCCCAGCTCCTGGCTTGGCTGCACCGTTCCGGTGCTGCTTTTGGTGGGCTACAGCGCCCTGTGCAGCTCGGAGGGCACCGGGGGATCACAGGGATCGGCCCAGCGGGTGCTCGCTGTGCTACAATGGCTTTCAGGCACATAAGGGTTTAAAGATGTTTTGGAGAGTTGTTTTTCTCTGGCTCTGGGATTTCTTTCTGCTCTTCAGCGGCGCAGTGTCACGTTTGTTGCTCCCGCTCTCTAATTAGCTCTAGTGTCTGTGCGATCCTGACGGTGCCGGGGCTGTGCCAGCGGGCTGAGGCCATCTACAGAAAACATGGGGTGGAGTGGTTGCTCTTTAACTTGCCCTTTGTTGGGGGGGGTTACCCTGCTGCCTCTCACTGAGGGGGCTTTGCTTGTGCAGGGCTAAATAATTAAGCATCTCTTCGGGCAGGCAGTTCTTCCAGGAAAGTCTCTGGGATGAGGAATTAGTGTCACGGCCACAGCTGCCCTATGGGGATGGTCTCTGCAAGCAGCATGGGTGCCTCGCAGCAGAAACCATCGGTCTTCTTTTCTTGGTCTCGCTTAAAAAAAAGCAGGGAGCATAATTGGGAAGGAGAGTGAGAGAATGGTCCCCGTTTTCTATTACAAAGCATTCATAATTATTGCTTCACAGCTGAAAATAGGGTAGTTAAGGATGTTGTACAGGGCAGGAGGTGCTCACACTGCCTCATTTATGTGTATTACGGTATTAGAAGGTATTTTACAAAATACAGTTCACAGGATGGCACAATTACAAAAAGTGCTTTTTAAAAAAGCATAGACATCTATCCCTGCTGAACAGTCCTTCCAAGCAAGGACTAAACACCCAGAACAAAACAACAGCAGCATGCAGATTGCCTGAAGAGGTTTTACTTTCCAGTTACCACCGGACAAAATTCAGGCTAACAGCACAAGGCGAGCCTTGGATTCTCTGCTTCTCCAGATGATAAGTTTGTTTATCGTGTAGTCACTGCAGACTGAGCAGCTTGCCGTGGCACGGGATGTGGCAGCAGGGGACAGAGCCTGTGGCACTCTAGTGGGGCTAGTCGTCCTGTAAGCAACAGGCTTCAGAGGTGCCACTGAAGGGAAATGGCCCTGGTTAGGACAGTCAGCCTGGTGAGCCCAGGAGGGTTTCTCATCGCCTGTGCCCTGGGCAATCCCCACGAAGCCCTGGGAGGACTCATCTCCTGTCTTTTACTCTCTTTCTCTGTGTGTCTTGCTCTGCTTCCAGGGGGAGAGAGGCATGCCAGGGCTGCCGGGAAGACATGGCTCTAAGGTACCTTGTAACCAGAGGAGTGATACTTGTCTGCCTGATCTCACCCATAGCCCTCACCTGTCCCTGATGCACAAGCATCGCCTGGAGTTGTTTGTGTGTGTCTGTTACTCAGTGACTGTCCTCAGCTGAATTATTTCTGCTTCTAAATTGCAAAATATAGGGCCTAATTTACGCAGGGGATGGTGGGGGAAGAAGTGTTTTACCAAGCAAATGGCATGCCCAGTCCAAGGCTGACTTGCAGCATCAGGACCTTAATGCTTCATGCCAGCGAGAGCGGCCAGTGCCAGTAGGGAATTGGTGTTCTGTAAATTGGGGTTCCCAGGAGACCACAGCAAATGTGGGATCAGCAGTGAATCAGGGTCAGCGTGTGAGCAACCCTGCATGTCTGTGCGTGGCAGTTGAAGGAGAAGCACTAGAGAGTAACCTCATCCACGTTCACTGCCATCTGAAGGCCGAAGAGTGAGGAACAGGCATCCCACCTGCACTGCAAAAGCCTAACCCCAAGCCACTTGCTGCATGTTATCCCTTTTCATGGCTCTAGCCCATATTCACTGAAACCTACTGACCCTGAGACGATCTGGAATGCTTTTTTCCCCCGTTTATTGCGTAGAATCCCTGATCTCCATCTTCTGTCCTTGTGTTTTTTAGCTTTTGTCCCCGATTTCTGTTTCAGAAAGCTGAGAGGTATGATCCTGCTGCTCTCTGGCTCCCCACTCCTCGTTGTTTGAACTTTTCCGAGCTCTTTTCACTTTCAGCTTGGCTCCCAGTTCTCCTCTCTGCCTCATGTGCTACATCCCAACCTCTCACATTTCCCAACTTCTAACACCTCTCTACCCCCTCCCCTCTTCTTAGTTGTCCCTCATGTTTGCCTTTGTAACTGGACATTTTTGCCAGGACCTAACTAATACTAACACAGGGCATACAGAGACTTCAGAGCAGAGGGTTGAGAGGGAGGACCTGATTTTTGCATCAGCGCTGTCGAGGGCAACGTGGCAGTGCCTGTGGGAGCAGCTGGCAGGGGCTCTGAGGCTCCTGTCTGGGATGGCAGGGTAGGCTGGACCCCACACTGTCCTGTGGTGGTGGCAGCTCGCTCTGTGCTGCAGAATGACACCTGAATGGCAGATGTCTGGCTTCAGAGCTCTCCTGAAAATGTTGTGCTGCAGGGTTTGTCTTCTGTGATAAAAACAGAATGATGGGGAACAGCAAGGCCGAGGCTCTGGGGTATGAGCTGGCCTTTCTCGGGATGCTCGAGCTGATGTGTCTGGGCTCAAGTGCTGAACTGGGGGTTTGGTCCTTGGTCTGTTTTTGCACTCCTCAGTTATTTGACACTGTTCTGCTTGCTGGCCTTTGCTTCACTTGCAAGACTAAAACCAGGAGGGGGGTGTAAATCTGGTTGTCTTGACTGGGTTGTGCTTTGGAGGAGCTTTCTGGAATGCAGAGCCACTGCCACGGGTGAACAACCGGTGCAGGGAAGGAGAGCGTGTGCTGAGTGGTGTGTTACAGCCTTACTTCTGAGTTGCAGAAAGGAAAAGATGTGGATTGTTTTGCCTTCTTAGTTCCACCTGGCTGATACCGTTTTGTTTTTTTAAATTTTTGTGTCCGATTAATTTCAAACAAGGCGTTCCTGTCTTTCCTCTCTCTGCCAGGGCGCTCCTGGGATGGCCGCCGCGGGGATGAAGGTCAGTTTGACATGGCAATGCCTTGAGCAGGGCTGGGGCTGGGGCTGGGAGAGCGCAAGGTGCTGGAAAATGGTCGGACAGCTCCCACTAAAGGGAAACATCAGAACTGCCACGCCTTTGGCAGAGGTACTGGACCTGTCTGCGAGCAGCAGCCCTGCTACCCGGCACCGCTCCCGGCAGAGCCTCATCACAGCCACCCGCAGCCTCGCTCTGCCCCTCTGCACACAAAGCTGGGAGCAGGCAAACTCCAGGAGATGAGTTTTGCCTTACTATGCTCCCTTGTATCTGCTAAGCCTCTTGAAGTGCTGCAAGGTGGTTACTCAGTTTTATGTAGATGCCATTGCTCTCAGGTTTGCTGGTTTCTTACAGCAGCCTGGGCACAGCTAACGAAGCTAAAACAAACTGCAGGCACAAAAATGAGCACCTTAAGCATTCTTATGCTCTTATTTACAAGCCCAAGGGCCCCATAGATTGAAATTTTTTTTTCTCCACTGTGATAGCTCTAGGAGGATTTGTACTCTCTCTCCTCTGGCTTTTCACTCTATTTTCCTGTTTCTTCCTCACCAGGGCGAGCCTGGGACTCCAGGAGAAAAGGTACTTTCAGAAGGCTTTGCTGTGAGCCTGCACTTCTGGTTGGTTTGTGTATTTTTTTTTTTTTCCCCTCCCGGAGCAGCTGAGGGAGCTGAGGGATGGCTCTGTACTTCCCAGTGCCCAAATTCAGGCCCAAGTGGCACCTGCGGGTGTAAGCGAAATGGTAATAAGATACAGTGATACCAAGTGAGAGAGGGACCGTATTGCAAACATTCCCTCCCTCCTGCTTCTGTCAGTGGGGATGGGAATACCCTCCAGCTGCCTTCCTCCTCTCCTCCCTACTCCACGAAATACGCACAGCACGCTTTGCTTAGTGAATATGTTCCCTCTGTCCCTTCCCCATCCCCTTCACCTCCCAGGACTTCTGAGCCCACCAGCAGCCCTTCCCTGTCCCTGCAGGGGTCTGTTCTGCTGGGAACTGTCTGCCCGTGTTCTCAGTGTAGCCTGACATGGTTTGAGTTCCCGGGGCAGGCACAGTACAGACGTACCCCATCCACGAGCTCTCCATCCCTGAGCTTTGCTTTGGAAGCAGCTGGCCCCTCTGGTTTGAGGCTGGCTGGGTTGTGTTACAGCGTGTTACAGCCGCGTAACAGACGCATTCTCTGTCTTTTTTGTTCCCCACGAAGGGAGATCCTGGAGTCCCAGGGAGGATGGGCCCCCCAGGTTTGCCAGGGAAGAGGGGGCAGCGGGTAGGACATTGTGTGTTTGGGCTGGGTGTCCTGGCAGTGCCGTGCTGTGTTCCCTGTGAGCGGGAGCTGGCGGGAGCCTGCTGTGTGTTGCATTATTGTGCTTGCAGGGGATTATGTGTCCTTTGCTGGCTCTTGCCCCCTTGGTGAAGTGTGTTTGCGTGTTCCCGCTTGCAGGGGTGGGGGGCTGGTGGCAGGCAGGGCAGCATGAGATGCCTGGGATGTAGTCTTGTCCTGAGAGTGATTAAGGACAGTGCCGCCTCTTTCTGACTCCAGAAATAACACCCTGCAGAGGGATTCAGTAATCTGACCTCCCTCCTCAAGAAATGTGCTGCTTTACTCCCTAGTTCTGGCAGCACAAGATGATTTCAGTAGCCCTTATGAACATGTGTATTCAAAACTAGTCCTTGAACGAAAAGCAGGATACTGAGGCAGAATCAGGGATTCACGGAGGCCTGGGATAGGATTAGCCATTATATCTCTGCAAAAACCCCAAACGCCCAACCTTTTCCTTGGGTCCTACAAATGTTTTCCTTCCTTCCAGAGACAGAAGCATTAATTTACAGCAGCAATGTGCACGTTCCAGCAGGGGGGGGCAAGCTGTGGGGGTCTTACAGGTGACTGGAGGCCAAATTACCTTGGAAAAAGGGGTCACTGCACTCTAGAATTGCCTGAAAAAAAGATTACTGCTAGTTAATTATTTTCCACGGAGCCACCGGTGCATGTCTGTTCGTGGAGCATTGATGCAAGTTCCCTGCATGTCAGATGGGTGCCCTTGAGTTCTGATAAGCAGCACCAGCCTCTGCAGGCAGAAACAGGGTTCCAGGAGCCGTTGTGGAGAGAGCTGGGCACGCGTGTGGGGAAAGAGGATTTGAGTTGTTCTGTGTAATCTGTATAAGTCACTAAATCTTGGAGGTGTGAGGGTTGCAGGTAAGAACACGCCTTTCCCTGGTCGTGCATTTGAAACATCTTTTCAGGATAGCAGAAACCTCTGATCTCTCTCTCTAGAGAGGCCAGATTCACACTCCCAAACAGGACACTGTGCCTGGAACCGTGGATGTAGCAGCTGGATGGAATGGGGCTGAATGGAACTTAACTTCAGCGTGAAGACTGCTAATTGAGTTCCAATATTGAAAATATGGCCCAGGTTTCAGGGTGAACTAAGCAAAGCCACTTCACCAAGGCAGTGCTGTGTGCCCTCCATCGTTCCCTGCCTGTGGCATCTCTGTGGTGCCTCACACAGCCCAGCCTGCAGCCCTTGCTCTCCAGGCATCATCTTACACCATCAGCTGCTGTCTTTGCCACTTTTGCCACTCCTGTCTTCGCTGCTTTTCACAACCAGTGCGTGTCCCAGAGCTTGGCTGCCAGCTGAGACGCTGCACTGCTTGTTTTTTGTAAGAGCATGATGAGACTGGGATTTGGAGGTAGGGAAGAGGGAGCAGGGCATGGAGAAAGTCCTGTGTGCCAAATAAAACTTGCCCTGGGCAGCAGCTTTTCTGCAAGTAAACCAGGGAGATCCGGGGCTGAAGAACTGTCAGGGAAAAGGGATTTAGCAGACCAGAGGGATAAGGAAGATGCTGGGGGGGACCCTAGATCCCTTTCCCCCTCACCTTCCTTTGGAGAGAAATGGTAATGATGTGTAGAGATAGTCAAAAGGACAGGTGAAAACGCTGACTGCTGGAGGATGCCTTGTCTGTACCTAGAATAAAATCCCTGGGGAGGGGAAGGAAGGTTTGAAACCAGGAGCAGCTCACCCTTTGGCTGCTCCTCCAGGATGAAGAGCCTGCAGAGGCAGCCCTGACCATGTCTGCTTTGCCAACAGGGTGAGAAGGGACGAGCTGGTGACCCTGGGCTTCCTGGACTCCCTGGGCCAAAGGTTTGTCTCTTCCCTGATACTTTGTTTTTGGTGGGGCCGCTCTCCACCCCTTTCCTCCCTCCCATGTGGCAAAGCTCCCGCACGCTTAGGTGACTGTGGCACTGTGATCTGCAGCACTCAGCTGGGTGTCCATGCCCCGGGAATGTGAGGGGGTACACAGAGGATGGCTTCTGGTGAGGAATTCCATGCCCTCATGCGTGGTGGGGAGGTTGTGGTCCTGGGAATTGGGAGCATGGAACCGGTAGTTCCAATAAGTCCACGTTAAAAGCGTGACCTCGGATGTGATGTGGCACTCCAGCCTCCCTCTGGCTCCAAGACCCTCCTGTGATGAGGAGATGGGCTTTTTGGGAGCTGCACTGCCGTGCACTGAGTTGGAGGAGTAGCCTTGTGCTCGGAGAGACCCGGGGCAGGTCAGCTAAAGCTAAACCTTGAAACTGGCTTTTCCCCTGTGCACTCAGGTTTTTAGATAGAAATCACAGCTTTCAAATCAGACTTTCACAAGGAGCTTTTCCTTTGGGCAAGGGGACAGTGCACTGAATGACAGTGGCCATTCCAGGAAGGGGTGTAATGGCAAAGGTGTCCTGCTATTGCCTTTTTATCTGCTCTGTGCAAGGGAGATGGTGTGTGGGTCTGACTGGCTGATGACTACAGCTCCTGAGGGAGACATTCCAAAGGAAGCCACTGTCAGGTGGTTTTACCAGCTCAGTTTCAATGACAGAGCACAGTTGTGTTCGAACTGGAGGCCAGGGATGAGGTCTGTGCAGAAGCCCTGGGCAGTCAGTGCCGAGCAGCCGCAGGGATGAAGATAGCTGTGGCTACTGGAGGGGCTTGACATGGACCCCAGGCAGGACTGGCCTGATTCCTGGCCAGCTCCTGGTTCTGGAGCAATGCCTTTCTGGACTATCAAGAGTCCAGCTGATGTACCTTGTCTTGGGCCATGGCTCTTGAAGCCAACAGTTTGGCAAGTGAAGTTACTGAGACGGAGAGTCTCATCTGTGACACGTGGCTTGTTCTTCTTTGCAAACAGGGAGATAAGGGAATTGCTGAGAATGCCTTGGTGGGAGCTAAAGGAGAACCTGGCCCTCCAGGTCTGCCTGGACCCCCTGGACCAAAGGTGAGTGATTTTTCCTTCAGGGAGTTGTGTGTTGTGAGGGATTGTGCCCAGCACAAGGTGTGTAGGAAGGAGCAAAGGTTGCATTCATCTGTGCCCACCTCTGATTACCTGCTGAAGGGATATCAGGTTCTGCAGGGTGTTATAGTACCATTGTTCTGAATGTGAATTGTGTTTCTGGAAGGAAAAGACACTCCTTGTGCTCAAGTAACTCCCCTCTAGGCTCTGAGAAACCAATCTGAAGGTCCTCTCTGCACTAGAAGGAACAGAAGGGCTCCTGGTGGGAAGTTGTAGCAAGAGATTTGGGCTTTCTGAGGAGAAGGGACGCTTGGCTGATGCAGTTCCTCCTAGAAAGGCAAAGCCAAAGTGAAGTCACCCCTGCTCCACACAACACCAACCCATCCCTTTCCCTTTCTCTTTCTGCCAGGGAGAAGCTGGTGACGTTGGCCGGCCTGGTGCTGCAGGGTCACAGGGAGAAAAGGTACAGAGAGTTTCTGCACAAACCAGCTCCAGGTCCAGAGGTTCGGTAGCTGCAAGTTTGTTCCTACATGTACAAAATTTACTGGGAAAGGAGGATTTTAAAATTAATCTGTCAAACCCAGACGGTTCCAAAGGACCAGCAGAGAATGATTCCTGGAGTTCAAGCGAGTGCAGGGACAGGCTCTGCTAACAGCATGTTCTTCTTGTTACAGGGGGAACGTGGTTCACCAGGAGACCAGGGACCCATGGGCCCAAGGGTAGGTGTTCCTTCACTAATGAGTTTGGGCCCTTCAGAGGTGTCCAGGGATAGTGGGGCCGTACTAACAGTCCAAACTGGGGCTTCCTGTCACTAAGAGTGCTCATAGCTGGGCAATGGCTAAGTTTGAGACAGGCCATTTCTCCACTCCATATCTCACCTCCACGTTAGAGGGAAAGAGTCTTGCAAGCCATCTCAGGGTGGCTCCTTTGTAGGAGGAGGTGGGTTTGGACATCCCAGTCTGATCTCAGGCCCTTGGCCTATGAGAGAAGGGCAGCAGGAGGGTGCTCGGTGCATGTACGAGTCCAGCAATTGGTCAAAAAATCCAGCTCCTGGATTCTGGCTTCAACTTCACCTGTTGTCAGACCTGCCAGCTTTGATGGTCAAGGCATGGTGATCTGGGCTGGGTTGGCTACACTTGTGAAGTGCTTCCTACCCTACAGAAGCTTTCTGTAATAAATGAAAAATGGGACACTCATGAAACCGGTCCCTCTGAGCCGCCTCTTTCAAGGTGAACCACAGCTCTGAGCACCCCAAGGGAAGTGCGGTCCCAGCCCCTGGCTGAAGAGCTGGTATTTTCCAGGGCCCCAAAGGAGAGCCTGGGAAGGATGAAATTATGGACTATGATGGGAACATCAGTGAAGCTCTCCAGGTGAGCACCTATCCTCCTGTGAGGTGACTGCTGGATGCTTTACAATTTCCCGGGGGATACAGGCAGCTGGGAACGAGGTAGATCTGCTTTCTCGGCAGTAACAGCGAAGGGAAACGCTTGGACTGTGTGCCGTAGTCCCCTCTATCCCACAGCTCCCTGCATGTAGCGTTTTGGTCGGTACCTGGGCACTTTGCTGGGCTGATGGATTAACACCAGTGGGTGTAGAGGTCACGTGAATCCCCTCAGGAGTGGCACGTGGCGTGGGGTAGGTGGTGAATGAAGGCCACCAAAGTTTCCTGGGAAGTGTGCACTGAGGATGTGCCGTGAGTGAGTGGCTGTGCCCAGCTCTGGGTTAGCCTGGATTCCACTTGGGAAAAGGGGAAATTGTAGAATAACAGCTCTGTGGGACTCAGTGAGGTTTTTTTGCTCCTGTTATTTCTGTAGGTTCCTTGGTCACTTAGGCCAGTGTTAGATTAGTGGAGAACAAACCACCTCTGGGAAAACGCTTAGTTTTCTGGTAACCGTTTTAGTTTTTAATTTTTTTTTTTTTCTTGTATTTTCCTAGGAAATAAGAACTCTGGCCTTGATGGTGAGTTCCGGTCTTTGCTGTGGGGTTTTACACAAGTAGCCTTATGTCCATCCTAGGCAGAAGGCCTGACAATTTAGGTGCAGCAAAAACATTTGGCCTTTGCTGTTGGGAGCTAAAGCTGGGGCAGCTGACAGCTGAAGGAAAAGCATATCTTGCCTTCTGATCTTGAATTCTGTTCAGGATTTTGATCTCTCTGCTTTAAGAGGTAATACATGCTGCTCAGAACAGAGAGTGCCCAGAAAGAGCAGGGAAGAGCAACTCTGAGGACTCTCCACTGCTTGGCTTTCCAACCAAATATGATTTTAGAAATACCTTGAAAAATTCCCTGAGATTTCCCTTTAAACTCCGGAAAGTCTTTGGATTTCAAAACACAAAAATAAAAGCCCTGTTGATGATGTGAAAATAATTTTTTTCTTTATCTAGGGACCCCCAGGACTTCCAGGTGTGGCTGGACCTCCAGGGCCACCAGGACAGAAGGTACTGGCTCAGTTCAGCACTTGCAGAGCTTAAGGAAACACAAGAGTGGCTCAGACAGAATTCCTAGCCACAACTGTCCCCAGTGCTCCTATCTCCCTGTCCAGCATTCTTGGACTGTCCTGCTGGCCTCTACCACTCCTCCTCATGCACAATATCCTGAAAATCTCTTTTCCCACAATGATAATGCCTTATCTGAAAGATAAAGGATCCTTTCTACTTGCCCTCCCCTTCAGGAGGCAGCTTGTGGGAATTGCACTCTGTGGGATTGCGTTGTTTGGGGACTGTGTTTCAGCGCTGGGGCTGTGAACTGGCAGTCAGGATCAACAAGACCTGGAAAATGCTTAGGCAGTCACACAATGTGTTGTTTCAGCAAGGGCTTCCATGCTTTATTTTCTGTGACTATCGAACCCCCAGGTTTTTCCATCCTTTTTTCCCTGTGATTAGTCCCTGCAGACTATTTCTGCAGTGTCCATCCTTCATTGTCACAGTGAAGGAGTCACAACAGCTGCTTTCAAACTGCCAGAGTAACAATTCTGTGTTTCAGGGTGAAATTGGCTTGCCAGGTCCTCCAGGCCACGATGGAGAGAAGGTAAGGCACGATGCTCTTCCCTTCAGTGGCCTTACCTGGAGTCAGTGTCTTCCACCTCTGTCACTGAACGAGCACAGTTGCTTTTCCCACAGGGGAAAACAGTATTTTGCTTCACAAAAGTGAGCATTGATGGTTTATCAGTGTCCTAACACTTGTCATGGCAGTGCTACTTTGTTCTGTCTCCAAAGGGCACGGCTATGGGGGAGAGGATGAGCAGTGGGAGAGGCTCAGGGCCAGGCAGGAGTAAACTCTCTCTTATCTGTAAAAACTTCACTTTGTGTTGTGTGAATTTTTTTTAGGGACCACGTGGCAAGCCTGGAGAAATGGGCCCCCCTGGCCCTCACGGGCTGCCCGGAAAGGATGGACCCCCAGGAATAAAGGGAGAGCCAGGCCATGCTGGGGTCAGAGGAGAGAAGGGTGATAAGGGAGAGCCAGGACAAACAGGCTCACCGGTGAGTAAACCAAAGCCTCCCAGAATAGTGGTGGTTACCCAGGTTATGGGCAAGGCCCCAGGGCTCCTTGGGCACCTCTGGGCCCCTCTGAGGTGGGCGCTGCTGTGTGAAGTGTGACACTACAGAAGTGAGATCCTGGCCTCTGGCAGATGTTCTGTCCCTGCTGCCTGCCCTGCTCTCTGAGCCCTGTGTCCCTCAGCTTGCTGCCTGGCATGTTGCTGGCACTGACCGTGAGCAATGAGGCTGAGGCACCAGCACACCCCATCCTGGGAGGGCACCTGCATGGGGTGACATCCCTGCCACTAACAGAGGCACAAGTGCCTGGGCTCCCAGCTTGTCCGTCACAGCTTTGTGTCCCTAGCACTGCTCAAGGGGGTTTTATGCAATGACTTCCCGCCTCTCTTCAAGATCACTAGGACAAAACTCCTGCTGTCTCAACAAGCTGGCTGTTGGGGAGTGATTCCTAGCATGGACTCCAGCAACCTGCATAACCACGAGCGGAACATGGAGGCAGGAAAGCAGTACTCCCTCCCCCCTCTGGGGACTGGCACATCCGCAGTGGCAGGAGGATGTTCAGCTCGTCCACTTCCAATACTGGCAAAGCCCAGCATTTCTCCGGGCACCTGATGGGGGTCTGGGGTTTTCAGAGTGCTCTTGGGATGGCCAGAGCCGGTCTCAACTCCTGCAATGATGTCTTGTGTGTCTTCCTGGCTTAGTCTTACAAAAAAATCCACAAGTCTTTCTTGATCCATAGGGTCTAGATGGCCCCACTGGAGAGAAAGGCGAACGAGGTGACCAAGGGATGCCAGGACCGTCAGGATTGCCGGGTCCCATTGGACTTCCAGGACTGACAGTAAGAATGGGAAAGTCAGGCTGCTCTTTCCTGCTTGGTAGAGAGAAAACAGCACAGAGCAGCACACAAGGGTTCATTTCCCAAAGTGCTGAGCCTCAGAGCCCTGCCCCTTCGTTAGGTGTCACAGAATGTCCGTCTGGTCTGCAGCAGCAGGCAGGGAATGTGGAATACATGGTCTGCTCCCACTCCTCCCTGGGGGAGCTGCTGCTGGCCAGCACGTGGGTGGTTCACAGGTGGCTTCTGATGGAGGGAGACTCCAGAGCACAGCGGGTGGTGACAGGGTCTGTTGTTGTGTGCAGGGAGAGAAGGGTGAGCCTGGGGAACGTGGAGACAAAGGAAATCCAGGAGAATCGGTAGGTCGCCTTTCCTGTGTTCCTTCTGCAGTCTGGGCAGCAGGGGAGGGATGATTTGTCAGCACAGCTGCTGGAAACAGGCACGTCCCACCTCTGGTGACACCCCCCTCAGTGAGGACAGCAAGGCCTCATCTCATGGGACTGGATCACCAGCCACCTCTAGCTCCTGATGCCTGCCTTTCCCTGACACAAGAACAGTCTGTCTCACAACCAGCAGTCAATAGGGAATGCCTGGGGAAGAACAGAAGATCTTGGAAAGCGTGACAAATATTTTCCCTGGCATTTGCAGTACAAGGGTTTCCTAGCAATACTTGCATATATATATATGTATATACACACGTACACATGTTTGGTTTTTTTTTCAGTAGATTTTAGGGTTCTTGAATTTGCCCATTCTCCCCCCAAAACTCACCCCTAGCTGTTGGGAGTGCCCTGCAGCAAGGAGTCCCACGGGCTATTGACATGTGTGGAGCCAGCCACCTTCTTCCCTATCTTTTGCTCTTTGATCCTGTACCTCCTTGCAGGAACTGTGGTAGAGTAGTGGAAGTGGACATTTCTTTGGAAAAAAACCTCACTGCTTTCCCTCCTCCTAAATATTTGCAACTGCTGCATAACCTTCCCCAGTGTCCTGCTGCTGCTTCCCAGTCACTCTGTCCTGGATCTCTGCTGCTTCCTGATGCAGTCCTTAGGGGGAGTCCAGCTCTCCCAGCCCTGGCAGGGCTCTGCTGCACCCTGTGCCCTGTCTGTCTCACGGGCAGCACACTGACGGTGACTTCTCCTGCTTTGCTTTCCAGATATCTGGCCCCCCCGGACCCCAAGGCCCTCCTGGACCTCCAGTAAGTTTTGAGTGATTCACCTCAGGAGCAAAGCACTGGGAATGGGGATAGAGTGGGAAGTGGCCGGGGAGGATTCTGTGTGGAGAAAACAGGCAGAACCACTGCAGTGTTGAAATGGGAACAGGTATCACTTCCAAACCCACCCCCAGGGTAGGTCAGAGCTACGGTGAGCTGGGTGGGCACAGAGAGGAGGTTATGTTGGTCTGAGATGAAAGGGAAGACAGTAGTAAGATGGGATGGATGGGATTAAAGGGATCAACTGCAGAAATGGTCTTAGTAGCACCCCTGGCCCCCTGCCAGGGTGTGCTTGGCAAGACCCTCCTCGTTACCAGATGGGAACAGTACATGAAGTGCCCGTGACACAAATAAAGAGGCCTCTGTGCCCCCAGAAAGCGAAAGCTCTGTACTGAACACTGAGCTGGGATACCTGGAGTTTAGAGCCCATCCTGAAACATTACTCATATCTCGTCTCTCCTCCCAAATACAGGGTCTTCAGGGCGTCCCAGGACCCAAGGTAAGGCTGCAAAACATTACATCCTGAAACTTAACTGAAGTTGTCCTAGGTGCTAGAATTCCCTTCAGTAACAATTTCTTAGTTTTCACATAGTACTTTTCTTCCATCTCCATAAGAGGACAAATCCTTCTGGATGTTTTCTTGAAGGAAATAGATCTGCAGCTCTCACTTTAGGGCCCAAAAAACTGATTGTTCCCTCCGGTTTTCACCCAGACAAGTGGGAAGTCACTGGTCCACGGAAATCTTCCCATGAGAACACAGCCGAAATCTTTGCCTGAAGGGTAAAGGTCTGTGCAGCAGGATGAACAAACATCATGCAGCTCTAAGTAACTGAACTGTAGCTTGAAAGGAGCCTTGAAATTACCCTGTACATTCTGCTGTAAAGCACTCGAGAACTTCCCTATCCCTGGTGGTGAGAATCTTTCTAATCTCCCTCTCAGCCTGCACCACTGCTTTGTCTGCTGTAAAACAGCTCCTAGAGAAAAAATAGTTGAGTGGAAGTATTCAAGGAGAGCTGCATCTTTCCTCTGACATTCTGGGCAAAGATTGGAAAACGTGGCAAACATCTTAATTCTTCTGGTCATCTTCAGTATTTGGCCACCAGCACCGTTTGGGTGCTGAAGGGGATGGTGTCCTTATCCTGATTCCCCTTTCCTCCAGGTGTTACTACAAACACAGTTATCTGTCAGGTCTGTAACTCAGCAGCCACTGCTGTCAGGTGGCTGGGAGACTTGTGTAAGAGACTGTGCAAACCTGGTTCTTCTGACACTCCTGTATCAAAATGCATCCAAAGTAATGTCTTAAAATGCCCCATGAACAGGAATGAGGGGAAGGAAGCTTTGGGTTGCGCTCTGAATTTGTGAGGAAAAAAAATTATTTAATGTATTGTGTTTTGTTTAGTATTGCTTTATAGTTCATAATACAGAATTTAAAAAATACAGTTGGGGAAGGAATGATGAAATTATTTTCCCCAACTGTTTAAACTGATGCCTTTGCATTTACAAAAGTCTTTGCAAAGGTGACTTCTGCGTGATTTTTCTTCAAAGCTTGTAGACCTGTCCTTCACTTCCAGTGAATCCACGTCTTAAAATGTAAACCCACCCTATCAGATAAGCTCTGGTTATTTATCTATAAATATCTGTACAGCAACAACAGCAGGGAGAGCAGCACAGGAGTGAGCCCAGTTCCCCTTTGAACTCACAGGGCCTGAGTCTCCTCCGTCTGCCATTGACTTAGAACAGGTGCTCACATGGGGAATTTGACTGACAGTGGTTTTCTTCAAATTGGGCTGAGAATTGGGCTAAAACATTACTCTGGTGCCTCCTGTGTCCCCCCTGCTGCTCTGGGGCTCTCTGAAGGGAGGAATGTTGGTTATATAAGTGCTGTTGTGGTGGGTTTATTTTCTGCTCCATCCTTCCTTTAGGGGGAAGCAGGGATTGATGGAGTGAAAGGAGAGAAGGGTGCCCAGGGTGAAAAAGGAGACAGAGGGCCACTGGGATTACCCGTAAGTATCCAGGAAGCAAACAGCACTTTGGGAGCCAAACTTGTGTCCGCTGTAAGAAGATCCCTCAATAGGAGACGCACGCGGGGATTTGATACGTAAAGACAGAGAAAGAGATGGTCTATAAATAACTGTGCCTTTGCTCTGTACAGAGCCTTCAACTTTCAGATCTGGTGAATAGATCAGTGACCACTTTATTTCTTCCTGCTTCTGGGAGGATTGGGAAAAACAAGCAGTAGCTTTCCTGGGGGATCTCTGCGCTTCGGGGCAAGGGGACAAAGACCAGAAACAGAAGTCAGAGGTGGAAAAGGCAATGCCTTCCCAGCCGCTTGTCACCTGAGCCGAGCTTTGTACAAGGCGTGGTGGTTCTCAGTGCACCCAGGTTCTTCAGTTGCCCAAACATTCCTGTCTCTTCTGCCACGGAATCAGTGCTTTCCCTGCCCCGGCGTGTCCCTGCTGTGTGTGAACTCAGTCCCTTTAGCCTCTGTTAGTGCACTGGCAGCCAGAGGAATTGTGGCACAGTATGTTACAGAGAAGTTGCAGGATCTTTAGATGCAAACCTGGCGATTTGGAGAAGCTCTTTGGTCACATCTGCTAAAGCCCACTGTGTGAGGTGACAGCTGATAAAGAGTTAGTGGTAACTTAGCCCCACCCACTCGCTCCACCGCCCCCCAAGTTCTCTCCTCATAAAAAGCACTGGTGGCACAGTACACCCTCTCCCTTTCCTGAATGCTCTGCCTGGAATGAGCACTTCAGAGTGCATCTCATGTACTGCGTGACTTTGTTGTCCTGTGTTTGACCACCCAGATCCCTCGTCCCTCACTTTGGCTGAAATGTGCGTGTCTTTGTTTGTAGAACGTTTTCCTCCTTTAGCTGTGCTGTGTAGCAGTTCCCTTCCAGGGCCTGAATGCATCCCCTCTAAGTCTGGGCCCCCAGGTGAGATCACACGAGTGTATTCCTGTGGCTGCAGGCAGAGCCAGTGGGGAGAAAGCAGTGCTTTGGGAAGGCTCAAATGCAGAGGACGGTGCCACAGTGAGGAGGCAGAGCCCAGTCCTCTGAGAAAGGCAAACAGAAGCTTTCTGTGGAAATGGCTGTTTCCTCAAAGCTGTGGGGTATCTGGACAGGGGAAGGAGGTCCTTGTGACAGTCTGAGCAGATGATGCCCCAGCAATTGTCCTGACCAGCCCATCGGCGTGGCAGGGAATGTGCTGACTGCTTCTCCTAGAGCAGTGAGCCCCATGAGCCCCCAGGGTCCCTTGGCTTTTCGTGTCACTCTTCCTGAGCTGTGGAGGGGGGAAGGCTCAGAAGTGTCCTCTGGGAAATACTTTGTTTGGATCAGCTCTATCAGCTGCCCAGCCAGGAAGCACAGTTACTGAGCTGCTGGTAGGATCAGACACTGTGGACCTTGTATCCCTTCTCAGAGCCACTGAACTCTGTTCCTAAGCTGTTCCGTGCCTGATCCAGTGTGTCTTCAGCCTGTCAAACTAAATGCAGTGGCCAAACAGGCACTGAACTATCTCAGACTCTGTAAAATCCTGCAGCTGGACCTGCTGCCTTTTCCTGCGTGACTTAGGGCTTGACATGACGCCAGAATTTCAGCCGCAATTGTCTGCAATAGCCTTGGGCTTCTCTACGGCAATGCAGGTTCCAGCTCTGCTGTCACATTGTTTTCAAGACCTGTCACAGAACAGCTGCTTCTCCAGGGGTTTTCTTGGTGGCACTGAGAGAAGGAAATCGGTCCTCTTTAAGAGGATCTAAAAGTTGCAGGTCGACATTACGTGTATTCAGTGTTTTTGTGTTTTTGTTGGTTTGCTTGTAAGTACCATCGCCTGTCCTTGAGATCTTAATTTTTGTTAATTGCAAGCATACGTTTGTCTCAAGTCACTGCTTCACTCACCTCTCCCCTCCTGTCTCCTCCTGCCTTGTTTTTGTGAACCCTCCCCGTCTGTTCAGGGTGCTTCAGGTTTAGACGGCAGGCCTGGACCACCGGTGAGTTCCGTTTCTCCGTTGCCCTACGTTCCTCCTCCCCAGTTCCATGATTTGTTTTGTGTCTTCTTTGTTCGCACCAGGAATAACCTTAAATTTTTTCCAAAGCAGGCTTGGGAGGGTGGCTAAACTTAAAAACTGGGGAGTGATGTCACACATTTGTCTTTTTTGATGCTGTGAGTCCACCTGAATCCTGGGGTCACAGGTTTTGTCCTGTGACAGGAACCTTCGTGTCAGCTGCTCTGACTTCCCGACAGAACCTGAATGGCAGCTTGTACACTCTCTTGCTTGGGGATATTGTAGACTTAATTTTATAGATGTGCAAGGGAGACCTCACGTATTCCAAGGCACTGAGGGATGGCTAAGTGCAGGCAATTGAGATTTCCATGGTTGTATGAATCCAGGGAGAGCCCAGTTTTTCTTACTTCCTTCACCACGCTGAAGTTGGTTGCTGCACGAGCTGCTCCTCCCCTTGTATTCTGCAGATCTTAACTTGTCTGAAAACCTCTCCTGATCCACGTGAATCATCCTGCTCACGTTGGAGGGGTTACTTCAGTGACTGAGGATTGCAGGCTGACGTTAAAATGTGCAAACCCCTTTGCCTTAAGGCTCTTAGAAAACGATTTCCCAAGCCTCGTTTCTTCCTAGGAGGCAGGTAATAATGCCTCAGAAGTACCCCTTTGTTGAGGCTCCGTGATGGAAGTGTAGATCCATAGCTGTGTGGTTAGCAAAGCGTGGATGGAGTTCAGGGAGCCTGTGCAGAGTTGGAAGTGCCCAGATCCTGTTCTTAACCAGAAGGACTATTGCTGAACTGCTGCACTGCCCACATTAAAGATCAGCTTTGGCTCAATCACTTCCCAAGGCCCCAGCAAGTTTCAGGAGCACTGGGAAGGAAGTTTGGTGTGCTAGTGGGAGATGGCCCCTGTGTGAAAGGGTTAGGAACAACACTGGATTTTCCTGTTGGCATGACTGGGGGCCTGGTGGAGTGACAGGCATGGCAAAGAGGGAACAGAGGGACTGAAGGGCACCCCTCGTAGTTCACATCTGTGCCTGTGCACCCCTGCATTCCTCGCTGCACCACGGGGTCCGTCACCTTGCATGCACAACTCACTGGCTGCCAGCACATAACCAAATGCTTTCCATTGATTCTGTGGGGGGGGGGGAGAGAGAAAATAAGGAACTAAAGGAAAAGAGAATTGCCTAACCTAATTCTAAATGGCCTTTATTCTGCTACAGCTTTCAGCTTTGTCTGATATAAAGTAGAGAGAAAGAATTCCTGTCTGTGGAGTTGGTAGAAATGCCTGCTGAAACAATTGTCAAGGGAAAGCTTCAAAATTAAAAATAAGGCTCTGTGCAGGGGTGCTGGTGGGATTTAACTTAGCAGCTCCCATTGTTCAAAGTGCCACCAACACTGAAAGCTGTAGCGGTGCGAGGTGCCTTCCACCACCAGACTGTCCTTCCACGCTGTGCTTTTCCTGAGGGAGCAGCGGTGTCTCCTGGCTTTAATGAGGCCCTAGAATAAAAACGTCCTGATGTGTTTTCCTTCCTACAACTGCAGGGTACTCCAGGACCAATTGGGGTTGCAGGACCAGCAGGACCAAAAGGAGAAAGGGTGAGTTTGTTTCAGGACTGACTGATGCTCTGTAACTTCCCTGAAGATGCAACAGCTCTGAGGGATAGAGGAGCTCTAGGCTTTTCCGGAGATGGAACCTCCCTCTCCTTGTGCATACAAGACCCTCAGCTGGGCCTCTTTGATGTCTGAGTGCCTCATCCTTGGGGTTTGAGGTGCTCTGAATGCATCCTTTGCTTTTTCTTCTCTAGTGCTCTGTTGCCTGTTTGTACTGAGTAGGAATGTAGCAATTTCTACTCTTTTTGTCTCCATTTCAGGGCAGTAAAGGAGATCCTGGAGTTGCAGGACCAATGGGGCCAGCAGGGCTTCCTGTAAGTATGGGAATACGAGGGATTTATCTACACAGCCCGTTTCCTTGGCAGCTGAAGATGCTGCAGTAATCCGGTGTTTGCAGTTGAAGCTGGGCTGAGTGTAACTCATCACAAACCTTTGCTCACTAAGGGGGTGACAGAAAGAGCTGAAGAGCAGTGACTTGGAGGGAGGAGGAGGAAGCTGAAGGGAAATTGTTAATTCACCTTGGTCCTCGAGCTACCAAAAGAAGCTGAGTGGGGCTCCCAGGATAGGTGTCTTAGTCCAAAATGCTGCTTTGGAGCACATCTGCTCCCTTTTACTTTTCACAGCCTGGCTGGGTGAGCCCTGTCCTGTCATTGCAGGGACAACAGCTGCCTCTAGTGAGGTTAATTAATTCCACTGTTTGGGATTGCTTTTTAAAAAACAGGGCCAGTGTTGAAACTCGAGTGTAATGGAATCGTGAAGCTGCTTCGTTGTTTAACACAAAAAAAGAAGTTTGCTGCTTTTTTCGGGGACTGCCTTCTCCAAACTGGTTTGGTTTTTATCTGAAGAACCCTTAGAGCAGGGTAGTGCTGTTACAGCCTGGATGGTCTGATGGAGAGGAGGTTGTCTGCTGGAAAAGTTTTGTGTGTTTGTAACATAGGTGGAAAAAAAAAAAAACAAACTCCTGAGCATGCACTCTTCTTTTTGAGTGGGAATACAGTGGGACCTGCTTGTTTTAAAATATTTTATGTTGATGCATTTCAGGGTTTACAAGGTCTGCCTGGTGACAAGGGAATCCGGGTAAGTTACCAGGCGAACTTTTTGTATTTAATTACTAACACCTTTACCCAGGGACAGCCCAGTTAACTCTGAGCAGCTCTCGTAGCCAGCATGTGTTTGTCTGCTAGACCTCCACACCAGTGAGTTTGCACACCTGGGTTTTAGAAGGTGATACCTGTAGCTTGTCCCATCACCTGGGACATTGAAGGCCGAGGGAGGGATTTTCTGATGTGTTCACTGCTGTCACAGCTCCGCTCTCACCAAAGCATGGGACTCCATGTGTAGTTCAGTTAGGCCAGCGTGCTGTGCTTTAGGAAATCCTGCTTGTCTACTTACTGATGTGTGTGGATTCCCATGAGAAGTAGCTGAGGTGCAGCCAGCAAATCTTATTTTAGTACTTTTAAATTCCCCCTGAAGCATGAAAAAGAAGGTCGTCCTCGAGCAAACACTCCTCCAGAGAATTTGGAAGATGGAAATTTAGAAAAGATAAATTAAATTTGCCTGCCTTCAAGAGTCAGACATGAAATCTCTTCAGGCATTACCCGGAATGGATGTGATGGTGAAGAGTTGGGTCAAAACCAGTAACGTGAATGGCAGCCTGTCCATTGTACCACCTCTGTTAATTGAAAGATAAACATTACCAAGGAGTGTATGCTGAGAAGCTCCTTCTTTTTCAGCAGGTTTCCTTGCCTGTTAAAGCTCTGAATCTTTTTGATAAAGACACTTGCGAGCTGTAGTTGAATATAATTTATGTTTAGAAATACAAATGACTTCTGGATTTGAGTCTTTGTAAGATAACAGTTGTATCAATGTCAAGCAGTTCAAGACAGTACAAATGTGTGTACTCACACATCTCTCCATAAGGCTGGTATCACCTAAATTTGTCTGAAAAAGTGAATTTTATAGTGCATGTGCCCGTGTGGTGATTTCATTGTATGGATTTGCTTTTGATACATAGTGAGTGTTCTCTGTCCTCCACCTGCAATGGATTTCTGACCTTACTCTGCACAGAAAGGGCAGTTTTGTAAAGCAGCAGCCAACTGGCATCTTAAACTAGGGGAGAAAGGTTCAAGGGAGCCCCAAAGTTCTCCCCTTTTTTAATCATTGCGTTTCTGGCTTTGTTTCTTAACTTCCTCTTCACTAACATGTGTTTTGTTTTGTTTGTGTGGCTTCTAAACAAAAAGTAACTCTTAATTCCTAGACTTTTTCAGTTGGTTTTTAAACTGGATATCTTAGAAAGATCTTTCATTGGCATGGGTAATAGTAGATGGGATTTTCCTGAGCTCTGGCGTAAAAGCAAGTGAAACTGGGAGAAATTGCAACTCCTTGTAGAGGACGAGTTGGAAAGCACGAGTGGGAAGTTGTGCTGGCCCCTTGAAGCGTGCATGCACTTTGCATCGCTGCAACCCATAGTTTGCAACGATGAAAAAGTGTGAGGAACTTGAGAGCGTAAATGGGCAAGTGCAATGTCTTAGCAGATGGGGTCCTGGAAAATACCCCTTTTCCCACTGAGTAGAGGGGCTTCCCCTTACTCATCCTGAAGTCCCAGACAATTTGCCAAAATCCTGTCTGTTCCTTTAGGCAGAGCAGAGCTCTTTGAACCGCAGAAACGTTCCTGCTGCCCTCTGCTCGGAGTGGGAGACGAGCGTGGCTGTGCCCCGGGGTCGTGCCCTGGCTAGGGATGGGAACAGGCAGAGTTTTGTGTAACCCAGCTGAAAAAGTGTGACCCCTGAACTTTTGCTGCCAACCTGTTGCCTTCACTGTTATTTTAATGCCTGTGTGGTTTTTTTCTTCTGTGTATGTGCATCTTCCTCGCTCCTACAGGTCCACCTTTGTCCCCTTTATCCCTCCGTCCTGTTCCGCCTTTCTTCCTGGTTCCTTCCTCCTTCCTCCAGAGCAATCCATGCCGCACTTTTCCTGGATTATCCTCTCCATTCCTGTGCTTGGCTCTGGGTGAATTCTCCTCATTGCCTCTCCTCTCCCATCCATTTCTTTTGCCAGCTTTGGGTTTAACGCTTTTTTTTTTTTTTTTTTTTTTTTTTTTTTTTTTTTTTTTTTTTTTTTTTTTTTAAGAAGAAACAGCAGCCCGTGCTGTCTGACTTTATCCCTTAATTCCTTTAACACTCCCTACAAGTTCTGAGTTCAGTTCCCTGTGCAGCCCTTTCCCCTGTTTCATGCTCAGCAGCTCTGAGAATTTTGTGTTCTACAGAAAGATTTGGCATAGGTGTAAGTGGCAAATACCACCCTAAACCCTTGTGCTGCCAGGTGAGAGGGTCAGGGAGCAGCTGCTGCCCTGTGGCTGTGCTAGTCCCTGGTCTAACGGGTTTTTTGGGAGAGCACTACTCAGAGCATCCCAAAGGGCTGTGTGGACTCTCAGGGCTGAGTACTGCCTTTATTCCCTGGCTGAGAGTTCTCTGAGTGAGACTTCCATTAAAAATGAGAATTCGGAGTGGTAAGAAAAACATCTTGGTGCCATCCCAGAGCTCCGGTGGCAGAGGAGGGACCTTCCCAGCCAGCTGCAGGTTGAGGATTGAGAAGGGGTGGCACACTGCTGGCTAGAGGAGTGTTTGCCCGTCCTGTGTGCCTGTTCCCTGAGGTGCCTCTTTCTGGAGTGTGGGAAGCCCCGAGAAGTCCTCTGATGATGCCTTTGATGCTGAGCCCTCCCAGTCTGTCAGTGTGGAACTGCAGCCACAGCCAGTGTGTGTTTATGCAGCTCAGTTACAGCTCAGCAGCTCTTCACTTTACATCTCAAATGGAAATTTCTTTTAAAATGTTTCCTAAATGTTTACCCTTTTTTTAAACTATCGCTGACATTTGTTTGAAATGGATGATCCTAAAGCTTTTGTGTATTCTTTTTTTTCTCGGACTAAACTATTATTTGCAGGGGGAGAGGGGCAAGAAAGGCTCTAGAGGGTCTAAAGGGGATAAGGGAGACCAAGGAGCGCCTGGATTAGATGCACCCTGTCCGTTGGTATGTTCTGTTTCATCAAATGTATTGTTTTAAGATGTGTTGATGGGGAAGACAGAAGGAAATCATAACATAAATAATGGTCTTGCAAAAGTACAACACTTGGATGAGGCCTGGCTGGGTTCCCACCTCATCCTGTGGCAAAGCTGCTTTCTCCAGGGGGAAAAACCCCCTAATCCCCTGAGCCATCAGGCTGCTGAGTGACCACAGTTATGTTCCTTCCTCTTCCAGAGCTCACAGAGGTTTGGGGTACATGGGGGCGTCCCATGTGCTAGGAGCCCAGGGCTTTGTCCTTTGTGGATAGAGCCCTGCCTCCCTCGCTGCCAGTTGCTCTGAGATGTTCAGTGTGATCCTGTCTGCAAGAAGGCAGGACTGGAATGCTGGTTCCCTGCCTGGGAATAACGGCCAGCTGATGGGACGGCCTGAGAGCACACAGGGCACTCGAGCTGCAGCACCCAGAGGGAAAATGAATCTCACTTATCCTAAATGGGATACGTGTGTCTGTCAAAACAGATTGGCCATAAATCCAGGCAAATGAATAGATACAGGAATATGTGTACATTTTTATCTATAAACTCGTATGCTCCAGCGAATTCTGCCAAAAACCTGTAGCAGTGCCACGGATCCCAGGAGTACCTGTGGATCATGCATCTGGAAATCCAGCTGCTGGGTTTCCTAGTGAGGATCAGAGGAAGGGGTGATTCCGACACTGAGGAAGCGCCATTCCCGTCCTCTCAGCTTTAGCTCAGGGAAGCATCTCCTGGCTCGCAGATCATGGAAAATCCAAAAGGAAGCTGCTGGTGCTGCTGCTGATCTGGGTGTGCAGCAGAGTGCCCTGTGAGGGTCCCGGTGGGGGCTCGGCCTCTCCCCGTGACACGGAGCTGGCAGTGACTGGAATAACGACAGTGGTTGATTTCATGAACAGGGTCTCCGAGGTTTTAAAGGCGAGAAGGGTGAGCCGGGGTTACCTGGGCTGGACGGCCTGGATGCCCCATGCCCATTGGTATGGCCTACCTTCCCTTTCCTGCATGCTCGTTTGCTTTTTGGGTCTTGGGTGCTATTTCTGATACCCCCAAATAGCTGCATGCCCTGGAAACACCCGGCAGCTCCTTCCTTACCTGTCTCCATCCTCCCTTCCTCACATTGCTGTTCTCACAACCAAACCAGGCCCTTCCCCTCAAGCTGTGATTCCCAGCTGCTGCCAGCACTACTTTGTGGCATGAGGAAAAATAGTGGGAATGCAGATTTGTTTACAACTGCTTCCCTTTGACAACTTCCACTAAACTGGCCTATGCAGACCTAGTTCTGTGCTGGCTTTGCTTCCTTGCAAGGAGCTGCAGTGCTCGTGTCCTTCATCAACTCTTATTTTTTAAAGTGCTTGTGTGTGGTAGGCACAGCCTGACATGGCTCTGTATTACCTCAGTCACCCCCTACAGTAAGATGACTGAAAATAAGTTATCCTGTTAGCAAGCCCATGTGAAACACATTAACTGGACACTTCACCTCCCTGCGAGATAATTCCTATTTATGACTCTCCCCAGAAGTCCAAATTGTACCCATAGTGTCAAAAAAACTTGTGTGTTTCCCAGTATCCATCTGATTATTGTACTAGTGCCTGATCTAGCCCAAGTGCTGTAAGACAAAGGTTTTCAGGAATACTTGATCTCAACTCATTTTGAAGTATCCCACTAAACATCACCAATTTATTCATTTTCTCTGAAATTTTGTGGAGATGCAGCATTCAGGTGAGGTTTTTACTCCCTACGACAGCCTCAACATCTCCGTGACACAAAGAAACTACTCCCCTGCTCTTCTGGCCTATTTGGCATGACAAAGTTTGCTTGAGGATGGTCCTTCCAAGCTTACTTAAGGATGTCTGCCATTTCCAAGGGATGGAAGATCTGTTAGTTCAATTAGCTGGAAAAAAGCGCGTTCCCAAAGCAAAAAGTCACATTTAGTTTGGAAGGTTTTCTTAGTTCTCCCAGGGAGGAAAAAAAAAAAAAAAAAAACCTGTGAAATTGCCATTAAAAGCCTTTGTTATTTGAGCTTTGTGAAGAGCTAACCCGTTTTCCAGTTTTCCTCCCAGCACCCCCTCCTTTGGGCAGTGCCGTTGCCTCTCTGGGGCAGTGCCTCTGGCACTGGCCACTGGGAAAGCCTCAGTCGCTGCTCTGTAAATTCTGAGTAGTAGAAAGGAGCTTCTGTCAGTCCCACAGGTGAAACCAGACCTGCCCAGAACAGCCCAAGAAGGAGGAAAACCACAGAGCCACGTGTTCTGCCTCCCCATGGTCATAGCCAGGTTTCTACGGAGTAAGTTTTGGCTGAGTAAGGCACCAGATTCCCCAATCCCTGTAAGGATTCCGTGGGTGCCCTGGCAGACCACCCCTCTGTTTGTGTCGCTGCTCCCAGTGAGGGTTCACCCCACATGGCAGTGTTGGAACACACGCTTCTTGTCATTCCTATTTTCTTTAAGGGAAACTTGCCAGTAAACCTGATGAAATGCAGATGCCATTATTTTTTAGATGCAGCGTTCTGGCATGCGAACTAGCTCGGGAACGTGAATAAGCATGTTTTTGGATCCAACTAGGTTAAAAGCTCGGCATCCAGCTGACACATCCATGTGTGTAACTTATGGGGGCTGTGAACTAACGCTTTGCACATCTGAGATATGTGGAAGGAGATCCTTGGTGCTAATAAGCATGTCGTGTTTCCGTTCTCGGCACATTCGCCCGCAACAAACACTTCTTCGTGACCCTGGTCTTCCTTTGATCCCTAAGCTGCAACTCCCTGGCCTCCCATTCCTTCATGCACCTAACTTCCATCTCCTCCTGCACTGCACTACACCAGTCATTCCTACCACCACCAGTGTACCAATGGGAATGCCATAATATACCCAGTAATTAACTGGTAACTCAGTATTTCCACATATTTGGGGGGGGGGGGGGGGGGGAAGGGAAGGAAACAGCACAAGGAGACCACATTTTAAAAAGCGCATTTAAAAAGCAATATTGTTGTGGCAATGTTCAGTTCATCAGGCCCCTGAACGTGCACCTCTGTTAAATAGTTCATTTCTCAGGATATACTGTGCATTTGCTTTTCTGTTTGTATTGGTTTTTGGGTTTTCCTGGGGGATAGCGATAGCTCGTGAATGGGCCACGTGGACACAGCACAAGTGTTTGATTTCTCGTGTCAGAGATGTATCTCCTTACGTCTGATTCACCTCCTGCTCAAGAGCACCGTAGCGCTGACGTGACATCCTGTTTTCTCCTATCAAACAGGCCTTCACGGAGATAATATGAATGGCAGTCAGTCATTCACAAAAGCCTTTCCCAACCGTGGGTCTCCATCTTTTGGTAGCACAGCCCATAATGCATCCAACCTTCTTCAACATTAAAAAAAAAAATTAAAAAATAATAATAATAACAACAACAACACACCCACACGGGGCTGTGCAGCCCAAGACATCAGGGTTGCAGAAGTGTTGGGGGATTTTCACAGAAATCCTACTGCTGTTATTGGAGCCCAAGACTCTTTCCTGGGAGTCAGCTGAGACGTCCTGAGCTAGCACAGGGGCTGCCCAGCTGCTTGCCTTCCTAATTTCTCTGGAGCAGGATCTCCTCAGAGGCAAGAGAAGACAGCTGGGCAGGATCTCACATGACCTTTAGCAAACAGGGCAGAAAGGAAATGGAGGGTTTTTTTCCAGACCTTCTTCAGGATCAGAGGTTAGTGCTGACCCTGGGGTTTGCTTATAACCTCAGCCAAGCCAAGCCTGAGGACACAGACCCCCCCACCTCACGCTTTCCACTGCCTTCCTTCCTCCTTCCTTGGTGGAAGCCTGGATAAACTATTCCCTGAGGAGGAACGAGAACAAGCCTACAGACCTCATGTGCATAAGTCCCTGGACAGCCCGAGGGCTCTCCCCTCTTCAGCCCCAGCCCTTGCTTCATTCAGGTTCCTTGAGCCAGAAGTCCGGGTCACTCCGAAAGGCTGAGGAATATCTCAGACTATTCCTCCAGCCCTGGTTCACGCTGTTTGTTGCAGCTGTCATAGTTAACCCACGCCTTCTTTCCTCCCTCTCTGCAGTTCTGCCTGTGTCTAAACTGCTGTTGCATCCGTCTCTTTTTCAGGGGGAAGACGGGCTTCCAGTTCAAGGCTGCTGGAATAAGGTAAAATAGTCTTGGAAATGCTGCTGTGCTGAGTTGGCAGTGCCATGTGTTTCTGCTAGTGTTTTCCAATTAAGTCTGGTTAAGAGCAAAAGAGTTGTGGAGGCTTGGATGGGATTTCCAGGACTGTACCCCTGAAAAGCAGCAACCAAAACTCCTCCTGGTTTGTGTATCCAAGTTCAGCTCTGTGAGCCACAAAGGAGAGAACTGTCTGTGTGGCCTTCGAGCTGCCCGGCCCCGAAGTGCTCTAATCCTTGCACAAAGATTAGATTTCCACCTGGATTCCCTCAGACCCCCTGGGGTCTACCCCACCTTCAGCACCTGGTTGTGGATGTAAATGCCAGGTCCTCAAGCTGCAGTGGTGGGAAGATGGTGGAGGCAGAGTCAGCCCAGGCTGAACCTCCTGCCCTCACTGCCCAGGGAAGTGGAAAGGATGCCTGCTGAGATTCCCATTGCTTTTCCTCCTGGAGACCCCGGAGCCAGCTTCCCCTCACGCCCTGTGAGCTGACACTAACACCTGGTAGTGAGTTGTCACTAACACTCGTTTATGTTTTCTTTTGCAGTGATGATTCTAACCCTGGACTGGCCTGTGTGTGTTACTGTACATAGGATATTTATTTTTATACAGTGTTCTTCTCCAAAATGCCAAAAGTTACGCATTTTTACAAATTATCAAAAAGCTGCATATTTTTTTTGTACAGAAAATACTAGATTTTTTTCCCCCCTGTTTGTCAGTTCTCTGTATGATTCTACGTCTGCATTATGCTTGTTTTGTCATGGAGTACAGCTGTAATATTTACATGATACTGGTGCACACATGATGAATATAGGAACTTAATAAATTATTGCATTAAAGATGCCCGAAGGAACTGCCCTGTATAGATTTAAAGGTCATTTTCATTTTCCAAGCTGGGTCATTCAAGAATATTTCAAAGTATTATGTATTTTTTATTAAAGTGAAATATAAACAGTTTTGTTGTGACTGAATTAAAGTGTTGCTGAAAAACTTCCTGGTAGTCACCGTGCGCTGGGAACGTAAAGACTCCCATGATTTATAATTATCCTCCCATGGGCTGGAATAACACTCATGACAGCGAGCCCTGGCTGGCAAAAAAATTCTAACCTCGTTCTAAATTGTAGGCGTGCGAGTAGCCCAGTGAAAACCTCGTTTAAAATTAAGTGTAACGCAGCACTCACTCCTCGATGATATCCGGATGAATGTTACGGAATGAAAATCCCCGTGGCTTTTTGAGATGTTAACCAAAGGTCGCATGCAGGTTTGCAGTGTGCCCTTACAGCTTGCATCTGTACAGCTTAATTACCTGTCCTGATCCACCTTTGTTGGTGTCACAAGTCTGAACTACCCAGAGAGGAAGGTGCTGCCGGGCTAAAGTGACCATCACAATGTGCTTCCCTTGGAAAACAAGCAGAAGCCGAAATCCATTCCCTCAAACATGTCCACTGGCACTGGCCCTTCATGTAGGGGGGAAAGGCAGTGGGCAACCCAGGAGATTCAGGGGAAGCCACCCGTGTTTAACGGTCCCAAGGGAGAACCGTGAGTGGTGATTCATTCGTGAGCCTGATCCACTCGAGTCCTGCTCTTTGCATGATGCCACAGGAGTTGGGCTTCTCCTGGCTGCAGCTGTGCCAGCTGGAGTGGTCCCCACCACCACCCCTCCTGCGCTCAGCCACGCTGCTCAGCTCTTCCTCTGCTCATAAACTATTCATTAGTTACTTTCCAGGTGATTCCAACACAGTCTTTTAGCACCATCAGAGTCAAGTGACAGGGTGTAAGGGATGTACTTCCCTGCTACTCAAGGACTGCCCAAGGAACCCAGCCCATCCCCTGACTGCTGCAACCCATCTGTCACCTCACCCTTCCAGAAATTTACTGAATTTCATGTAAAAACCAGCGAGGTTTCTGTGCCTGTGTCCGCTCCCTCCCCTCCCCGCCCCGCAGGCTGTTCCAGCTCAAGTGCTCTCGCAGTTAGGAAACTCCTTGCAACTTTCAACCTAAACTAATTCGTGGTATTTACAACCATTTCTTCTCGTGCCAACATTGTCCTTGGGATGAAACTTTTCTGTGCATGATGTTTTGGGAGGTGCTCGGGGTACTGGAGCTGAAATGGCACAGAAGGAAAACGAACCGCAGAGCCGTGAGGGATTCTTGTTGGTTTTCTCAGTAATAGCCGTCGTTAATACAAGCCCCAGCTCCCTGTTACGAGGCTTTGCAGCTGTAGAGCTGAGCTAATTGGAACAGCCAGTGTGTTCCAATTGTGTTTTAATTGCTCACCTGTTAAACAAAGCAGCTCCTAAAGACCCAAAGGGATACACTGGGGGTGGTTTTGGGTTTGGGAAGTTGTAGCAGCAGAATTTCTACTCTGATCTTGGAGCATTCAGCTGCAAGGTAGGATGTTGGAATGCTTCAGCCTCTTCTAAAAATGCTGGCTATCCTTAATCCCATAAAACTTACAGATCCCCAGGAGAACCTGCCAATGCTTCCTGTCCCCTTTGGTCTCTGTGGAGTGTTTTTCTTTTGTAGCTGGTATTTGTGATTGCACTGCATGGGATTGTTGTTGCTTGGTTTTCTCTCATCCAAAAGCAAAGTGCACGTCTGTAACCTTGCCCTGGCACAGCTGCTGAAAGGTAGAGGACTCCCGAGGTGATACTGTACCTGTTTTATTTCCTGAGCAGTTTTTTGACTGACACATTTGTAAGAAAGCTCTTGCCTGAGGTGCAGGAGGCCTTGAAGTGTAGTTGCCTGAACTCTTGAAAGTACCTGACTTGGGTCAGCAAAGACTTACTTGTTCCCGGGGGAAATGTGTAAGGTACCCACTCACCTGTCCTAAAGGCGGGAATTTGGTGGCAAATGTTCCCTGCGGTTGCCGCAGGCACAGTTTGGGATTTTAACTGAAGCAGATGAGGGAACATTTTGGATTGCTGTTCCTACAGCCCCGGTGCTGGCACAATCCCCTCAGCCACTAGGGATAGACAGGGGGTCAGTGACACCACACTGGTCTGCTGCTCTTCCCAAACCTGAGCACTCTGCATGTCGAGAGAAACCCAAACGGTGGCAGATGGGTTTGTACCACCCTGAGTGCGACAGGTTAGTTTCAGGGTCTGTCCCTACTAAAACCTGATAACTGTAATTGTGCCTGGCTGTTTTCACGTGAAACCCTTTGTCTGCCACTTCAAGGGTCAAACTCCTTGGCTGATAGCCAGAAAGTGAGTCTGAGGGTGGAGAAGTTTGGGAAACGGCAGCAGAGTGAAAGGAGAAGGAGGACCTTCCTGAAGATTTGCTGGAGATGTTTTGCAAGTTGCCTCCCCGGAGCCTGGGAAGAGTTGTTGAGCTGCGCACCAGGAATGTGCCTGCTGGGGCTGCGGGAGCTCAGCGTGCCAGCGCTTTCTGCTTTGCTCTCTCTTCTCCCAGAGGCCAGAGGCAGGGGTCGAAAATGACACCATTTATATTCTTTTCCTTTGGTCATTTTCACTTCATTCGACTATTGTGGTCAGATTCTTCAGAATGAAGAATTAGGCTCGTTTTCCAGCAGCGGCTGCATAAATGAGTGCAAGACACAGACAATATTTCTAAGGGGGCGATCCTTTGATCTGAGAGAAATCTTTCTTGAACAGTTCTCTTTAGGAGAAGCAGAGAGCCCCCCGTGTTCAGCTCAGAGTGCTGCTCAGACAGGACACGATAACACTTTTTGCTTTTGTTTCTGGTTACCAGATGACAGACTTCCACCTGTATCATTGATGATTCCATCTTTAACCTTTTCATCACAAACTTTCTTCTCCTGTGAAATTATAAGAAAGTGACATTGTTTCTTGGTTTTTTTTGGCTTTTTTTGTTTTTGTTTTTTTTTTAACCATTCTGGATTTTTGAAGGCATGAAATATGTGCTCAGAGGAGGCAAATGTGGAGTGTGGAAAAAGTCTGGTTTCACTGACTAATTCCTTTGCTTCCTGTACTTGTGCTTTGGTCTGCACTGCACACACTGGATGTACTTTGTCTGGAGCCCTCCAGAAATGTTCTCTGCCCGCCCATTAAGGCCGTTTTGTGGGTATCTCTCCGCAGATGTACTTCCAGATGGAAAATAAGGATCAGAGGTTCAATTCCACTGTTACATGTTTCGGTACATTCACTGAAGGGAAATAAAGATTTGGCAAAGTACTGAGAGCTTTGGAGGATGTTTCCCAGCTGCCTGAAGGGCAGAATATACAATCCTGGATACCTCCTACCAGCTGCAAACCTGGCATCCCTTCCTCAGCCCCTGCTGCTGAAGGTTAAATCCTGCTCACATGTAAGCTCTATTTAGTGTCTTGCCACCACAGCTCTTGCAATTTATTTAAAAAAAAAAACAAACCCAAACCTAAAATAAATAATTAAGTATGTATCCTATGAACGTGACTCATAACATTTCTACTTCCCTGAGTGCATTGGGAATCCCTTTTGCCCAAGCACTAAAACAACACATTTTAACTTTGAGCCTGTGATTGCTGCTGGCCTAAATGATGCCATTTGCATACTGAAGTACTCTGGTGAGGCAGGGCCACTGTCGTTAGAGCTAATGAATGATGTTATCTGAGTCATTAGGCAGAATTAAACGATAAGCAATTCATGTCGCAGTTCAGAGAGGAAGAGCTGATTTCGATCTCAAAGGAATGTATTTCAAGCAGAGCCATCCCAGATTCAAACGCCCTCTGTCAGCGCTGGACTCATCCTGGCCTTCTGATAAGGACACCTGTACCTGACACCCATCTCCTTCTGCCAACGCACAGAGAGTCTACTGTTAAAATAATTCCAGGTTTACAAAGATTGGGGGAAAAGTCCTACTTTCGGTTTAATCTAAAGAATTGTAGGATTTTTTTTTTCCTTAAGGTTTCTAACATAAATTCAGTGCATAGAGTAACAGGGGAAGAAATTGTTTCAGTTGGGAACGAGACTGGTGGAAAGGTTAATTTATTTTATTTGTATTTTTTTTTATTTTTAGGGGTTTTTTTTTGGGGGGGGAGGGGGTTGGAGGGAGAACCTGACCAGAACTGCAGGCGGTAGGTGTGCATTTTTCCTTATTTTTTTTTTAATTGAAAACAATGGTATATACAGTTTGATGATGTTGCTTTTACTTTTCTTTTTATTAATGATTTTTGGGGGCAACCTGTGTGCTCTGTTCTGTTTTCCTATGTTTCCTTCTCGGTATATTTTTAATGGGCTTTTAGAATAAGTGTGTAAAAGTTCCTCCCTGAAAATGTCCTAAGGACATTTCTATTGTCTTTTTTTTTTTTTTTTTTTCCCCTCCCTAAGTTCAGTAGTCAAATGGTGCTTTCCACAGGCAAACCAGTTTTCAGTGGGGATAAACATATCCCCACAGGCCACACCGAGGGACCAGGTACCAGTGGCCTCTCCCAGACAAAACATCTCTCTCCACACTCTCCATTTACATTTGCAAAGAAGAAAAGGGCTATGTGAGGGATCAGCCGACTGGAAATGGTCCCTTCCCACCTCAGGGGGTCTGTCGGGAAGCAGCTGGTCTGGCAAGAGCCGCTGTGTCCCCCTCAGCTGCATTCTACAGCCAGGCTAGAAGGCTCTGTGAAATTAAAAAGTCATGTTTATTTGAAGATGGCAAGCTCTTGGAGGGTACCTGCTAAAGTATTGCTGCCTCTTGCTATTCCTTGCCCTCCTCGGAATCCAGGAATACTCTCAGGCTCAAGCTTAGCTTTAGGCTGTTGCTTCATGCTGAGCCTGTCTGCAAATGCTTTGCTGGACGGGGGTGTCCCCTTTTTTTACTTTTTTTTTTTTTTGGTGTTTTTCCCCCCCCCCCCTTCCCTTTTTTTTGTCCCTATTGCTTCCAGATGTCTCTGCCCTGGACAAAGTAGGGGTTTTTTTTCCCCCCTTTCATTTTCAGAAAATCTCTGTTGGTCACATTTTGGTCATTTTCCCCTCACTTTCATTATCAATCCCTCCTACCATCCTTCCTCCCTCCATGTAGGCCTGCTTTGTTAAACGTTTTGATCTGATGAGAACATCATGGCAAAACATGAATTAAGATTGTAGATGTTTGTTGATACTTTTTTGAGTTGACTGTAAAGCTTCTACTGTTTAAAATGCGAAAACCAGTGTAGCTTTGTAGCTTTCTTATGATCTTGTTTGTTCTTTTTTCGGACAGACTCAGAATGAGTCTGAATGTTGCAGATTTTTTTTTTCTTTTTTTTTTTTTTTTCAAGAAAAACCTGCTAAGCTTTTGGTTTTCCTGCAGAATGTGAGTTTGTTGAACTGCTGTTCGGTAGGTTAGACACTAGTGGCAGGTATGAGAGGACTGGTTGTGGAGCCTGTGGAGTGCAACTTACGCTCTTGCTTTCCACTGTACAGCGTTTGTCGGTCTGTTGTCTCTGGTGGGGGTTTGCTGGGAGCGTGAAATTCCATTTTGTGATAATTCCATTGGTTTTTTCCCCCCCCACCTCACATTTCCTGTTTCAAAATGTTGCTTCAGTAAATCTTCCCTTTTGCTCTCCTGCAAAGATTTGCTCTTACCCTAATGTTGCACCCCACCAGCAGTGCCACAGACCGAGCAGTTTCATCCCTGCAGGATGGCCTGCAGATATCAGGGGCTCTCCCGCCGGCAGTGCCCGAGTTCCAGGCCAGTGGGTGCCTCGTGTGGAGGTTTTGCTCCTGATGCTCGTGGGAGCGTCCCCCAGCCAGGGCAGTTTGCTCCTACCAAGAAGTCAAGTTGATCCCCCGCCCCTTGGCATTCAAGAGTCCTCAGAGCAATAGAAAACCCCTCCCTGACTCCCCCTGGAATGCTTGTGTCACTGGCACTGCTCCTGTTTCTCATCTGTACATCAACTGGACACCAAATTGACCTAATCCCTGCAGGAGAATGATTTCTGAAGCAACTTTATGTTGTTACATATCTGGTTTCCTTGAATTTTACAACAGAGATTTTACTTTTTTTTTATTTTATTTTTTCCCTTTCCCTTTGGTGCCATAGACTGTAGAATATTTATTATAGCTGTAGTAAAGTGATGAGTTATGAGTAGACCTTAACAGGGCATTGTTTCCGTGTTTGTCTTACAAACACTGATTAATTAGGATGTTTAAATCTGAATACGCTTTTTACACTTTTTTTTTTTGTTTATTTGTTTGTTTTTACATTGAACTTTTCAGCCTGTGTATTGAATATCCGATGTTACCTGGCATTCATTGATGTGTGTGCTGTGTATACTTTGTGTTACCGGTAATTTTTGCTGTCATTGTGCTGTTCCTAAGACATCTTTTCAACTCCTTTTGACATAGCTTAGCTATTTGGAATTTTTTTTGGCCTCCCAGAAAGTTCTGCACTAAGCAATTGCTAGAATGAAGAGAAAAAAAGGGCTATTCTTTCCCACAAACTTTTCAACCTCAGCAGGAGCTTCTCTGGCCAAAATGAGCATTTGATTTTCTTCTTTCACTTTTTCCTTGTTAACATGACAACATTTGTTTGTTTTGGTTTCCATACTGAATTCCATATTGTCCACTTCTAGCAACATCTTAGAAAAACAGAAATAGCTGTGCCATAAGGAGTTATTGATCATAACAGAATTGAAATACTGTAATTATTTCGGGGTTGTTAAGAAGTATTTTTTCCACTATTAAGTTTTTAAGCAAATCTTTTCTCGGTGTGATAGAATATTAAAAAGACACTAAAGGACTAAGCACTCAACGTGAGGGAAGGGATTCAGGTAAACCATTTCCGTCCGTATGAGTGAAAAATAGCTTAGGAATTTTTTTTGTCAGAACAAATGCTGGGCCTCCATTCACCTTTTCCTGTGTCCGTTAATTAATGCAGTGATTTCAGTGAAACCACACCTGGCCTGGAAACCAGGGGTACACTTACAGGACTGCCTGAATCACTCCTCAGCAGTGTGATTTATCAGATAAAGAAACTAGTGCTGGTGTTGTTCAGAGGTGCTGGTTTAGACTGTGATAAAAACTGCTCCACAAAGCTCTCTATATTGCTATTTTAAATACCTCAGCCTAGTCACTACGTCAGGAGAGCAAAGATTGCAGGAGCAAGTTTTATTTTGGGGAAGGGACTTTTGGAAAATCAAAGGAGGGCTAAAAAACAGGCAGGAGGCAACGGAAAAATGTCTCTGGCTGGGTAGTTGTTGCAATGGTAGACCTGACATAATATTTGGAGTGTCATCCCGTTGCTTTCCAAGAGGAGTCCGATGAATTCCCCGTGCCCGTGTTGAAGCTTTACTCCTTTGTGTCAATGTTTTAGTGAGGTTTCTGTTTTAATTTATAAATTAAATACATACATACATATTCCAGTACAGTCTGCATTTGTTACCTGTGATGTACGTACCTCCTTCTCCCTTTTATAAAAATCCCTGTTTACCTACACCTAGTTTCTGTCTTTTGTCAGTGGCACCGCGTGCAGGTCATGACCCGTGAATCCACGTACAGGTGAATTCCCTGTACAGGTGAACACCATATGGGAGGGTGGGTTTTGGGCTCGTATCCTGAGGCAACCACGCCATCTGCTGTTTGCCATCAGGCCCGGGAACTACGGAACTCGGTGGGAAATGTCAACCGGTGAGCCTTGGATCGTCGGGCAAAGCCCTCAAGGATCTGGGTGTTTAGCAGTGACCGATGCATCGAGTTATTTAGGAAAGCAGATGTGTTCCGATGCTCCAGCTTGGAATAGAGGATGCATTTGAAACTTATGGCTTTTATCATTCCTGAAGGCTTCAAGGTCACTCTTGCCTTATAAAAATGATGGCTCCTGGATGTTACTGCTGTACCCTGGGAGAGTAGTGAAATCTTGCACTGGTGCAATAAATAAACGTCCTGAGGGTTTGCTGTGTGCTGCCTCAGACCCAAGGGTAGGCTTGTTTCAAGGCATTTTCATTTATTTATATGTCACAGTTGAGATATTTTTTTTTCCCCCTAAGGGCTCTGCAGTTGGCAGGAAAAAGTAGTTAATGAAGTAAATTGTCTTGTTTTAAATCAAACATGACCCAGGTATTTGTATTCAATTAATATTTTTACTTACATGGTTAAGACAATGATTGCTGCATTTAAGGATAAGTAACAAGGATCAAACCCTGCTTTTAAATAACAGGGATGAAAACACATTTTTGATTTTTTTTTTTAAGCTAATAACCAGCATTAAACCTTTAGAGTCAGTTGGTGTTTGGGCAGGGAAGACCTCTCTCATTGCTTACACATTTTAGCTAATCTGTGACTGCAGCTAGTGAGGCTGCTGCAAACACCACGTGTCACAATCTGACACACACAAAAATGTTAAATTCCGAAGTACCTGGGATGGCCTAGTTTAAAAAACACTACTTAAAATTAGAGAGTTCTCCAGAAAGTTGGGATTTAGCTTTTTTCCTGGCTCCCTGTAGCTCATTGATCCCGACCTAGCAGCATAACAACCCCACGAGCAGTATGGAGGGGGGAGGAAGGGTTAAAAAGGGCTCAAAGAAGTCCTTACAGAAGCGCAGAGTATTTGCAGAACTCTGTTATTACATCTGTGCTCTGCTGCCACACATCAGCTTGGGCTGTATCTGGTTATCCCGATGGCAGGGCAGCGCTTACACCGGTTGATCAGATTCCTGGATTCTGTACTCCTGTGAAACAGAGCTTTTGGAGCACTCGGCGTTCCTGCCCTGCCAGGGCGACCCTGGCCACCTGCCAGCCCGAGCGAGAGAGCGAAGCTGTAGCTCCGGGTGCCGGAGCTATGAAACACTCACTGCAGCGTTTGAGATGTAGCGGCTTCTGGCCCAAAGATGAGAGCACCGCAAACAGGCCGGTTTTCTTCCCCATAGCCGGGGAGCCGGGCAGCCAGCAGCCGATAAAACGCTCCTCCGATAGATCTGTTGTTTATTTTGACAAAGTAACAGATTGTATTTGCGCTCGGAAGGCAGCCGGCAGATGGTCTTGGCGCAACCCGGTGAGGGCAGGCCCCGCTCCTGCTGAGCGGGGAAAGCTCTCCGAGCCGGCGCTGCGCGTTTTTCCCTCGCAGGGTGTTGGTTGGTAGCAGCTCTTCCCTGAACAACCAGGGCTAAGTGGCCACAACACACAGCTGCTGTGACCGAGAAATAGGGTCTTTTAGCTGCTGGTTCCAAAAAGTGGGGTAACTCTTTCCAAATGCTGCCTTGGTCTGATCTGCTCTACTAAAAAAATTCTTTATTCCGGTGTCACAAAGCAACTCAGAATAGTCCAGAAACACTTCAAGCAACAAACCCCATCTCTATAATCCTGCTAATATTTAAGTTAAGGGTAGGCTGTATCCACCATGGAGAAATAAGGAGGGGAAATTGAGTTTATGGGACTATTAAAAATCACAGCCGTAGGAAAACTGGTCTACAACTGCAGACATCTATGTCTGGCTTAAAGATAAGGAGTGTTATATATTGTGAAAATCTTCTATATCCTCTCTCACACTTCTCCTGCATTCCCGTTTCCTTATGGGGAATGTTGTTTATAAACAGAAGAAAGTTGCTGTAAACAGAGTGAGTTGTCCTAATGTTGAAAGTTTGCCTCACATAAAGACTTTTTTTTTTTTTTCCCCCCCTAGAAAGGCCTCCCACACATTCGTGTTCTTATCACACAGCAACTATGTGTGATGTTAAACTGGGAATGTTTTCAGAAACTTGAGGTGCTTACTTTGCCTCATCCCAAATTATTTTTGATTACAAAGCCACGTACCATGAGCACGACTGTGAGGGTTATTGGATGCAAATATCTGTATCTGGAAATATAACAAACATAAACGCTTTTCTTCCTTCTTCACACGGGTTTTATGTTGCCATTTATTTTTATGCTTAGTGCTTGAAAATCTTCTTCAGATTCCTCCTACCCTCCCAATACGGTTCAGTACCCACTGACAAGTCTACAGGTATCTTTTTCCTTTGCTAAATTCCAAGCCTCATCAGGGAAGATCCAGGTAAGACCTTCCATTACCTGTAAAATAAAAGCGACTCGCACATGTGAGGTTTTTCTGTTATGATTTCAAAGCACCTTGACCTTGTTTTCAAAAAGAAGCGGGGAAGAGAACAGACTGACTCCAAAGCATTAAATCCACAGAAATGTGTTAAAGCTCTTACTCATCGCTTAAAAAGAGACAAGATGTTTTTATTTCCATTTTAATGACAGTCAAAATACAGCTGTTGTGTAGTGAAATGCCTTACCCAAGGTCACAGAGCAGCCCAGGAAAACACAGGTCCTCAACTCATGCCCTTTTTCTTCAGGAGATGGTGCGATCCACCATTATTTTAAAATGGGGGAATATTCCATTGCTTCTTTTCCCCACTCAATCCCATTCTATACAGACACAAAATTGTTTACTCTGGCAGAGCCAAAAACCAAACCCCAGCGAATCTCTATGATTTTTTTTTTTTAGAACAACAAAGGGAAAGCTGAAAGCATGGATGACTCTTTATCACTCCGTTGTTCCCAGACACCCTCCTGAAGTAACACCGCGGGTTGAAGCGGTCTGGGTCAATAACCTATCTATCTCCTAGCGCATTATAGTAGCCCTCAAATGTCTTTATTGTGAAATCGGTGCAACGACGCCAAGTATTCGCACAGGAATGATGATATAAAGCCAGTTTCGTGTAACAATGTACCTGAGTTGTCAGAGGTGCACTCTCCTGTCTGCACCATCCCGTGCTCGCGGATTTGGCGCTGCCAGAGACTCGTAACACAATCGCTTATTGCATCTCTCGGAGTTCGAGCTCTTGAATCCTGTGCGACTGCGGGGAAGAAAAGCAGAGCCCTGAGCTCTCGTTCGGAGGGGAGGAAGTGAAGTTTGCATCCCCCGTGGACGAGCGCCCGGAGCGCCGAGCGACACAAAGAGCCGCCGGCACTCTTTGTTGCGGCCGTTCCCAGCCGGCGTGGGGATGGATGCTGGAATATTTGGGCTGGAGGCACCGCGGCGAGGCGCCCGGGTCACCTTGCCGAAGGGACAGAGGGGGCGGGAGGCTCCCTGTAACAAAAAAAACCAGGCGACCCACCAGCTTTCACCCAAGCGCGGGGATTGCCTTGAAACCTCTCCCGTCCCCAAACTCCCCCCCCACCCTGGGAAAGGATGGGAAAGCTTTCCGCCTTTATGCTGCCGACCGCCACAAGCCCCCCCTGGGAGCGGGGCCAAGGGGAGCCTTTCCCCGCTGGGCGGGGAGGGGGTTCCTGCCCCCGCCGCAGCCCTGGGGCCCGGGCAAGGAGGGCGGCAGCCGAGAGAGGGGGGTTGTTGCGGGCCCGGGCTGCAGTGACTCCTCCTAGAGGCGGTATGTGCGGAGCGGGAGGAAGCCCCTGCCGCCCCCCTCAGCAGCAGCCGCCGCCATCGCCATCGGAACATACAATACGGGCAGAGCTGCCGAGGCGGAGCGAGGGCGGGGGGGAGCCCGGCAGGGAAAGTCGGGAGGGCACGGGAAGGGGGGGCAAGGAGAAGAGGAAAAGAGGGGGCAGGGAAAAGAGGAAGGGAGAAGAAGAAGAAGAAG